TTCGTAATTTTATTGAATCTGATAAGCTACTTATTGCTATAATGAGTAGAACATTTGAATATAACGGAAAAGTGTTTGACAAACTTTTTGTCTAGGAAATTTACCTAATATAGGTCTTTGCAACGAGATGATTTAGAGCTTAAAAAGTGCTGGTGTAGGATTTTTTTAAAAAGAGAACTAGAGTTAGCCAAAAAAAGACATGGTATTGGTTTATGAGGTCACTGACTGTTGGTCCGACCCATGTTAGTAGATGCAGACTATTTCGTTGGGGTCCGCGGGTTAACCGCGATAAGTATTTGGAGACGCGTATGAATTCATTTCTTATCGTTCTCTCGATCTTGTATTTCAACTTTTTCATATATACCATTTTACTCTGTCTTTATTCTCAACGACTAGTTTGGTTTTATTGTTATTTCCACTACATTATGTCGATTGCTTAAGCTGTACATAGTTATCACGCCGTGTCGATATAGTATGATAACTTGACCCATATCATATCCATACCAGGTTCTACTTTGATCACAGTCGTTTATCACGAAAAAGATCTCATCTTCCACTGAAACAAGCAACATACTTATAGTTTACTCTAATTACTGTTTGGTTTTGAAAGAAATCCTATCGATCAGAGAAAGCAATACACACGATTATGGTCACTTTGTAAAAGAGAAAAACAGTTTGCGACAGTAATGTTTACAGTCTGAAAGGAATTTGAAGGTGGTTTACAATTATCATGTCATCTTTTAATAATACTCTGATTAATATTAATCAGTAGTTGTATATGTTTTATTGAAGATGACAATTAATAGGGAGAAGTAAAATCCGTCACTGCTAAGTGATATTTGCACATTCATTATTTTTGCTTTCTAAATTAATTTGGCACGTAAACGGCCAAAAGGTGCACTTTAACATCAGTATTAATAATCTGTGTTTTTTACTGTGTGACAAGTAACTGACTAATTTTGTCCAACTTCAAATTATATGTTTATATTCATAAAGTTTCCCTTACATCTTTATCTTCAATTCATAACTACTCATTGTCAAAAAATAGATGAATTAAGAATGTTTCAGTTATTAAGCATTTCGAAAACTTGTTGATATCAAGAAGTCAGCTATGATATTAATAAAAATCTGTCACCGATAAACACTTTCAAAATGGTGACAATATGAAACATCTTTAAATACATACATGCTACGCATACACAGATATATATAGAAGAATATTACAATGTTTCGGAACATTGGTTTACATGTTTCGGAATTATTCATAATAATAATAATGCGAATGCATCCACTATTAATTTTCCCATAGACCTGAAGTTTAAATTTACCATACCCACTTTTTTTCTTGGATCAAATTGTCTATGGATAGTTTTTTCTATTGTGACTGACACTGTTACTACATCAACTAGGCTAATAATTTCGTCTTACTATAATGATTTGGTATGGAGACTTGGGACGATGCATATATGTTACAGGCTCCATGTTGTCTATGATCAATATTCAGTCATTGTAAGTGGACATGATCGAACAAAGTTAAAGACTTTAAGGCTAGTCAGGCATAAATTCCCAAGGTGCTTCCATCATCAACTTACAACAATTAACGAACTATTTGAAAAATAAATCTTTATCTTTTAGCTTTCACCCAGAAAATGACACCAAAAATTGCCTTTCAACGTATATGTTATATCCTAGTGAAGATTAAATAACGGGTAACTTCTGAGAACTATTAATAGACTAATAGTATATACATAATCTTACTGTATAACTATTCAGTAACTAGATTATATATATATACATATATTCCTCTTATTATAAGCTTTATTTTGACCTATGGACTATGATGATATGATTTACTATTCTTAAATCATATTCAGTTTATTAATTAATGACTCCCACAATCACGGCCACTTTTTTACTTGATCTTGTACAAATGTTATTTCCTATTTTATGGTGTGATGTGGTCTGTTTGGGTTGTATATAAACCAGGTATGTTTGAAACAAATGATTCATATAGTGAAAGCTGGTATTGGTGTTCTAGACTCAACTGGCGGGGCTAGGAGGAGAAAGGACCAACAAGAACACTAGGCTATTCATACCGGTCGATAAGTTTGGCACAATGCTAAGAATAAGTCACATGATAATTAGCACGGCTAGAAGTCACAACACTATATCAGGAGAAATTCGTGATTAATCTTTATTAAATGAAGTAATCTTTGCAGTTTAAGTAAAAGCCGTTCAACGTTAGGTAGTTGTAAGTAGCCGACAGGTAACCCTGGTTATGTGACAGCTGGCACTCATCAGCAAGATTCGGAACGTGACCTGGATAACCCACCTCAAAATTTGAAAGAGTGATACAGGCCCATATTTCACAGGTAGCACCAGTTCCTTCAAAACTATAGGTGCACCGTATTACCAAATGCTAAGCAGCACGAAATTTAGGTCCAGGGTATCTTGTCAACTACCACCACCTTACATCTCAGCAGTACGCAAAATCGAGTCACTTGGACCAGTGGCTAAATTTTAACCTTGTCGATAGAAATCGGCCAGTACTGAAGAAGGACATGACATTGGTGACTACTTAATAATTAACCATTTGTTAAGACCTTCTTAAAAAAGTACGGTAGAAAAATTCTAATTGGGTTTCACTAATTCCGAGTGCTGCCAAGTTGTATCTCCTCATTCCCGTTGCTATTTGACTAGTCTTCCCGGACTCCTACATTGTCTGGACGCTCCATGTACCTATAAACATTGTTGCTTTGATTGTTAGAAAGAGAATAGCCATCGTGACTTCCGAAGAATCTCGGCTTTCATCCTAAGGCGTCATAATTCTTCCCTCAACTCCCAGGGCAGAGTTTAAATGGTTTAGTTTGGTTGGCGTTTTTTAGAAAGATTTTTTTCTACAGGATGGGGTTGCCGACCCAATATCCAACCATCCTCCTTTATCCGGGCTTGAGACAGGCAGTAACTCTAGGAGAGCTACAGGTGGAGTAGGTCCTTACTTCTCCCATAACTCTAATTACCAGTACCCTACATTACTCCTAAATTTACCAATTAAGCATTAACTAAGAATAATCAGAATTCGATTAACTAAACTAGCAGTAATATATATGACAATTGTCTGTTGAGATGTCGTTGCGATCACTAACCGCTTCTGAAAAGCATTAAATTTAAACGGCACGGAATTGGGAGCACTTTGATGAACTTAGTTTAAGAAATGATATGGTGACTAACTTGATGAGGGACACTAACGAGTCGAAAACAATTCCTCATCCCACCTAACCAGTTTGATGGAAAATCGATTGAGAAGCTAGTCAAGCCTGAAATGGTCGCCCGATTTGCAACGAGTTTTAAGATCGGTAACTATATTGACTGGAAATTTTAAGCTAGATTTTCACTCAGGTCAGTAGTAGTTCGGTGGACACTACTAAACACCAGTCTTAGTATAAAAAGCCTTGTAATAAGCTTTTGCGAACAAAAATGATTTGCAGTATGATGAAAAAAAACCAATTGACTTTCGGTTAACTTAATTCAGAAATATGACATACTAAAGAACTTATCTCAAGATATCAAGCCACCAAAAACCAATATTGGTTATTACACCCTGAAGTTATTCATACTAAATCGATATTGACCCCTGAAAGATAGTAAATAGTTTAAATGATTTATTATTCATTAATGTCACTGAATAGATCATGTCGTTCAAAATCGACACCGAACACATTATTTATCTCTTACCATGAATAAAAATCCTATCTATTAAATAATCATAATTTTACTTAAACTCACCTCATTTCTACCTAATACTGAATTAATTTATTTGTTCGACAACTGCTTGTTTCATAGCAACCGTATCCCTAAACTCTAAGGAGGTACTTGATTTCTAGGATGTAAAGGTTATGCGAAAGCGCGTTCATTAAGGTTGAATATGAAGCTAACATAGTACATCGAAAACGTACGTGGAATTCCGTAGTCGTATTAAAAATTAAAGTTTACGCTAACCGTGAGACTCAATTAAAGACCTTCGTTTGGTTTGGCATCACTTCCAACTCAACACAGAGCCACATCTCTATTCATTAATCCCAATACGCCAGTAAAATTCCTAATGGAACGAATGATGGAGCATTTTTGCTGCATAAAAACGCTATTTTAAGGTATTTAGTTTCTCAGTTACAACTAGTCCCATGCCTATTCCAAATGAGTCTAATGAGCACTTGGTTTAAGTCGTATTGGGGACAATAAATCAACAACTTTTCAAAAACATCTCCAATTTACGCTACATGTAAAAAATATGAGTTGTTTCGTTTGGGATGAAGCGCTCAAAATCAAAGAGGGTTTCACATGTTAATTAGATTGATATAATACTTGAATAGATCATACTAAGCACTTCTATAACAATTCGTGAAGATTCTATGTATTCTGAAACTTGAGCATTAGCAGGAAAGTGAAATACCTTGAAAATAAAATACTTCAAGCGTCCATCATAATAATTTCAAGAAACTGTTCATCTCGTGAGTATACCTATGGATTAGTACCTGGAGCAAGTAACTAGACAAAAGTGTATTACCAGCACAATGTAAACTAATTGACCTTTAAGCAAACCGAATTAGTATTTTTAAGGGAACTATATATCCTGACATCTAAACAGCTGACAATGTGTTGTATATCACTTGATAGAGCATATACGTCTGGTCGATCACACAGATAAGAACCATTGACGATTTCTAACTAATTTCACAAATCACTATATAGACAGAGACTTAGTCAAACACTGGCTCACAGTAGACCCAGTATCAAAGCTTAGCATTCTTGTTAGTGAGCAGGGATTTTCCAGTAGATAGTACAGCAAAATAAATAAGATTAATTTACGACCACTGTTTACCATACAGCCAACTCGCCCTTACTTTATTCATCTCCGTTACCCGAGAAAACTATCCACTGGATTATAACTGAAACTCAGAAATATTTGATAATCGTTTTCTATAGCTATCTAACCATGAGACAGCATCCGAAACTAATTAGAGTGGTATGTCAGACAAGGAAAGTAGTATCGTTTATCACCACACAGATATTTGAGTAAGATTTATTAACTTTACACGGTGCGTCAATAAAGTTTATATGAAATGAAGCTTGATAATCTTGCAGTTGTTTAATGTCTTATTACGAAACAAAACCCGTAACTCTTCATGTTGAACAGATAGTGAGTAAATACTTGCATTTCACATCGTCACAGTTTTCCGACAAAAACTACTATTCTAACTTCGGATGATAACTCATTTTTAATAACATGGCTTTGTTGTATGAATTAAAATCTCTACTTCCCCAGCACCTTAAAGAACAATACCTCTCGGGGTATATATACGTATTTATGTGGGACTAGATTTAACCAATACTTTTGGGTAGTCCCAGACAACTTACACGCAGAGAAGCAATTACAAATTTTGCAACGTGGGTGTCAGGTTGCGTGGACCTTTGTAATAATTAAGACACATTCAGGAAAAAAACAAGGATGGATAAATACCAAACCACTGAAGGTTGGACGAGCAAGAACAGCTAGACACACAACTGGCCAAATGTTGGACCTGAAGACTTCGTTAGTTGATAGAGAACCATGTGACAATTTGTGGCCGTTGCAACACAGGACTTTTATTATATCACAGTAACCAGCTACATGCAAACGTTGTAGTTAGTTATGAGTAAATACATAATTCAACCTGATCCAAAATATTAGACATATGGCTAAATACCAATAAGGAACTAAAAACAGGAACATATAACCATGGCAATATGAAGTGACAGTAGGAAGATTGTAATAAATTTACCACTTTTACGTTACAGTACGCGACAACAGCTTTGCTCACAAAGTAGAAACAGTCAATATGAAAACTTATTACGCAGTGGTAAGATTCCTAGTTTGTACTGATATAGTTTACCTTAAGTCAAGAATACCAGAAATTGTTTAATTATCCAATCATGTATATTAAGATAATTAAAAACCAGCACTCTCCTTCATTAGTTGCTTTTTCATCTTTTTCTTAGATTCTTTCTTCTTTACTAACTGTGGTGCAGCTGCAGGGACCTTAGGGACAATATCATCTTTTGTAGCAAGTATGACTTCTACATGGCATGGTGAGCACATGTAAGGATTAATACGACCATGGGCACGATAAGTACGACGTCGCATTTTAGGTGCTTGGTTTACCTAGCCGAGTCATAAGAAAATAGGGATGTTACCTGAATATGTTTGATATACAAACGACTGGCTTCTCCTCCTTTTATATCTTTGTATACACCATTGCTGAATGCATTGTGCAGAAGCTGAAGAAGCATCTGAGCAGACTTCTTAGGCCATCTACCCTGAGTTGTTTTCCAGACTTTTGCCTGAGCATGACGACCAACGCCACCATTGAATCGTCGGAAAGGAATAATCTCTTTCTTCTCAATGACATTTTTCAAGTAAGTTTGAGCTCGCTGGAGAGTCATCCCCTTAAAAGTTAATGAGTAAATGTGTTTTTAGATACCTTTACTGCACACGCACACTCATGCATGTTTTTGAAATGAGTCCTTAGATACGGGATTCTTGCTTTGCAAGTTTTACTTTCATCTTCATCCTTGGGTTCCCAAGAGTACTTTACCATTATCCCTAAGATTAAACGGCGCCGAAAAACGTGGACGATCAAACTGCCCGCTCACAATAACTGTGAGACAAAAAACAACGTCGAGCTTAAATGGGTTCAAATTTCACTTGGAGTATTTAATACCTTCGGAATTAGGAGACAGTTTGGGGCCGACCACTGTATATATAATAACAGGAGTATCTTTTTGCCGCCGTTCATCACTTAACAAACCAGAGGATATAGTGAAGTTTCACTCCCGAGCCTTAGGTGGAAAATGACTTACACTGCTCAAATTTGTTCTTAGTATGAACTTGATATCTGAACCATACATAAATCCTTTATTGTCCTCCATAAATCAAACAATATTGTTTCACAAAGATTTGAAACTGAAATGTTACTTAGATTAATGAAAAAAGCCTGTTACGGTAAATAAATCACCAAAATATGTAGTCTAGAAAATTTTCGACATTGCTGCCAACCTCTTAGGTTTTGTTGGATACATCATATCGGAATGCGCTCGGTCACGTATCTTCACCAGATCACGAGTAGGGATGCCGCGCTTAGCAGTTTTTGCAACTACCAGCCAGTTTACTTGAAACTTTACTCAGTGTCGACAATCTTCTAGACATATTCATCAAACTCAATCATCCATAACCTCTGATTTGACCGGGTTGGTTGGTGTTACAGACAAAACTGTTGTCAAACTGAGTGTATGTGGCATCTTTCTACTCGACGACGCAAACACCAATCATCTCCAACATGTTTAACAGTAAGTTGTCAATCGCCATAATGTATGCGAAATTCAATTATTATTATTCACAGAAGCATACTAGAAAAGGAATAACATAGGCCGTAGGCCTTCTGTCCTTACTACACAAATCTGAATCTGAATCTGAATCTGAATCTGAACAGCTCGAAATTTAAAGCTCAAGAAAGTAGGCCAACAAATAAACTCATATTTATAATGTTAGTGTTAAACACAAAAACTGGTATTAAATAGTTAACTAAATTTGGTGAACTTGTAGCATTAAATAAATCCCCAAAGTCAATAGTCCTATAAGTCTTCGACATTCGATGCCGACCACATTATTTTTAATGAGCTGAAGGCGCTCGGTCACGCATCCTCACCAGATGACGAGTGGGAACTCTGTGCTCAACTTCTACAACCGGTAGCCAGATTAGATCAGTTACTTCTTGATATTCTGATAGCCTACCAATTATACCTTCGAAACTCTTCGCTTCTGACTTCCGATTTTACTGGGTAAGATGTTTTCAAAGTCTGAAAACTTTTGACATTCTTAAGCTCCTTCAAAACCTGGATCATAGGTGATTGTTTCGATAATGAAGTATTCTCGGATATTTCATACAGAGAGATTGCGCTTTTTGATACGAATCCTTCCTTACATGTTATCAAATCTTGTCCTTTAGAGAAAACATCTGAAATACATTTTCGAGTAACATACAACGTCTAACCTTACAACAAAGCCCACAAATTGGGAGCTGTAGCTTCCAAGACTACTTCCGATATTTTATTATGTTGTTCTTTAGTATTACCATAAGGACTAAATTCCCGATGTTCACTTCCGCATTATCAGCGGGGCCTAATGAATGAGTAGCGAGGTAAATTTGGTAATTTTTTTGTTGTGATTTACCCCAGTGAACTCGCATCTCATCAGGATTTGAAAACTACTCACAATACGTTAGCAAATTTGGACAGTTTTTGATTATCATCTCAGTTGAATAATGTGTAATTGGTTACTGAGCGTTCATATAGTGAACATGGGTCTTAGAAGATTTAACTATTAACGAGGTGGATGGTTCTATCATCATAAGAAATATGCATTAGAGTCTGGACGACGTATTGATCATTAACGTCCTCATCTCTTGCTCTCGTTTTGAAGCATGGAGGATTGAGTTTCCTCATTTATTTGAGTGTTGTCGATGTTTTCGGAAAGGTTATCAGAAGAAAGCTAAATGCGCTTGACTGAGTACTTCTAGTATCCCAATCTTGTGTTTAATTCTCGCAACTCTCCCTTCCTAACTGGTTGAGACCAGTTTATAGGCATGGATTACTAATCTTTTTCCTTCATCACGCTTTCTTCTAGTGTCCGCTAAACTACGACAGGCAGTTAATGGGCTAATGAGTTAGTGATGTTACAAGTAGAAACCCGACATTTTCAAAATAGCCATTAAATCTCAAGCGTCACATCTTTAATGTTGATTGGTATCATCTGATCGGTTTGAGGAAGTTCCATAGTCTGTTACTGCTGAAGTTTAGCATAACACAATTTAAAGATAGGCTCAGCTCGATCGTAGGACATATTACAGTTTTCTATACCGTATAACAGGATCGCGTAGCTACTTAGCTGACATAGGCCTTCCCGAGAGCTATGCAATACAGTAACTCCTGATCCTGATCTGCACTAACTTTGTAACCAGCATTCATGACACCAAACTTAAACATAACCGTTAAAATTAATTTCACTGTTGCACTACCTATGCTCATAACTAGGCAGGAGTTTAATCATGCTTAGTGTCTTCCTTGATAATGAAGTTTTCAGGATTCACAATAAAAGCAGTTTATTATGTTTGTGCCAATTTATTTTCACCTATTTCTTTTGATAAAAGGAACATCCGTAGTTTCAGAGATTTAGTGCGATTTCCTATTCAAATAGCAATTCTCCAGATTGTTTACATCATAAGTTCTGTGAGATTAATTATTCATTGATTTTTGTCTGTTTGAAGAACCACATATCTTAAAAAAACGTAGATGACACTAAGGCGAAGGAACCCAGTCTAATTAGCCTCAACATACTATTTAGAGGAAATATTGGTGAAACAAACTATATCAGGTACCTATGAAATAGTGAAAGGCAAACAATTACCACCAAGATGACTGAGTGCTTCGAAAGTGCGAATAAATCTTCATCTTTAGACATAATACTAAAAATGAAGGTATTATGTCACAAAGCAATTCATTGTCAAACTAGAGCAGGAATTTGTGTAACAGAGACGAATTCATTCTGTTAACTGAACTTATGTTACTTAAATGATTAAAAAGATGTTTATTCCAACAGCATTAATCGTTTTCTAAAAGCGAGGTTTCAAAGATCATTCTAGCTATTTAACTAACTACAGCTGTAGAGTTTGTTATCGGAATTTTGTTCCATTTATTTCAAGAGAGGGAAACTTTCATTTTATTATACCAAAAATATCTTACTATGAATTATTTCCAGCCACTTAACATCTCAGCATAAGGCAGACAATGTCGAGTTACTCAAGTTAGTGATCAGATTGATCAATAGAGTTAGTTCGGCATTAAGACTAAACAAACATAACAGTAACCATTACTTAGTGATCCATTAGTTGTAAGGTTACTTACTTACTTGCTTCCCCTACTTCTTTTTACTTACCTGATCAATTGATGGATGGATTAGTTCACTATATGAGCCTGCTATTCCACCAACCATAGTTGAAATGTATAGAACTTTACAAATTAGATCGAAAAGAGAGAGTATTACTCAAAATCTCTCATTGAAAGTAATTGGAATTAGGGCTGATCAATCAAATATATGTACGATTGATCGCTAATATTTTTATGTTGATATGGTGGGAAGAAAAGTCAAAATTCAATTGATTTACTCATTATAATTTTTGTTCAACATTAATTCCGTTTTAATTCAGTGTAATATAGTACTTGTTTCGTTTTCTTGTATAACATTTTATTCTGTATAACTTATGATATTCTTGTATTTAGTTAACATGAATGATACTCAGCATATGATTTGTTATAATTGTAAGTATTTTTGATATATGTGATTTCATTCTAATTATTAATCAAAAAAATGGATCTATGAATCAATATATAAATGAGTGTATTTTCGACTAGAGTCGTTGTCGTCATGTTTCGAGGTTACTATAGCAGAGCTTAGGAGCCAAATCTAGCATTCAATCTAGAAAACACTTCATATATCTTTTTATACATTTAATGAAACCAATTAAATTAAATACATGAAATGAAACACTAAAAAGTAAATAATTTCTGTATTACCGATATCATTAATAACAATATGAGTATAATAATTTACAATGTTTCTTCTTATCTTGAATACACTTAGATAAATCAATTATGCCTAACAAAAATTCAATGTTTCAATGCTTCATTTGGAAATAAACTGAACAGAGTGAGTACACTTATAATGATGATGATTATTATCTAGAATTATGGCACTTTTTAAATTTCTTTTTCTCAAATATACTTGATAATATGAGGGGAATAAAAGTAAAATTATGGTAAATTCATTTTAGAAGGGTTTTCCTCTATAAGATTAACTATAAATAAAATTATACAGTTTAACTAAATGAAATCATAGAAAAAGAAAAAAATGGATTCATATTTATGAAATAGTTTATTTACTTATTCAGTACTTCCATTTAAAGAAACCAAAATGATAAATCTGTATGGTTTATACGATACATACGCACACACACAAATAGATACCAGTTTCAAATAAATGACATAATTTTTGATGGTGGAATTTGTAATTCATAATTAACCTGTTTAATAAAGAATAGAATAGTAAACATGAATTTAAGTACAATGAGTTTGTTGTTAATAATAAATAAAAATTTCAATAGTTGAGATCATGAGTCAATTGAAGCTAGACAACTATGGAAAACCTGGAAGCACTGGACGGCCATTTCGTCCTATTGTGGGACTCCTCAGTAGTGCGCATCCACGACCCCGCCCCGCGGGTCAGTTGTGAGGTAGTAACTCACTGATGACAGTGGTGAATGCGTCGCTCAATTTCGTGGATTAGTCGAAGTTAGACATTGGCACCGTTGGATGCCGGCTCAGTGGTCTAGTTGGTTAAACACCTGACGCGAGACTGATTGACCCTGGGTTCGAATCCCACGAGGTGGAGTCGTGGATGCGCACTGCTGAGGAGTCCCACAATAGGACGAAACGGCCGTCCAGTGCCTCCAGGTTTTCCATGGTGGTCTAGCTTCAATTGACTTATGATCTTAACTATTGAAATCACTACAATCTTCACAAAACCCCTTCTGATACAAATAAAAATCTAAATAGTGAATGAGTTCAATGGATAGAAATCATTGATTCAGTTATTCTACATTGATTTAAATACATAAATGTTATCTTAGTACAATGAGATAAAATCAACCAGATGACAATAATAACGGTTAGAGAAATTGTAAAGAAACAAATAGACTGGATTGATTCCATGTATTGATTAAATTGCTACTAATCTTCTTCTTCTTCTTCTTTTTGCAACTATTTCATCCATTACCGACTAATGCAAATCCGGTTGGACAGTAATTGAATATACGCAATTGTAGTAAGAGACGATTTAACTATGAGGTAAAAACTTTCAGAGCTATTGTTTTTACGACTATATATATTCATCGCATTTTTATTTTATTATTTTCTTACAGCATTTTACACTTATAAACTAGAGCCGATTATTTGTGTAACCAGTATTACGTTTTTCCCATATTTAATTCATTATCCCATGTAAAAACCTTTACATATTTGGGCATCATCATTGATGAACAGGGTGGGTCTGATGCAGATGTGAAGGCGCGGATCGGCAAAGCAAGAGCAGCATATTTACAACTGAGGAACATCTGGAACTCAAAACAACTGTCAACCAACACGAAAGATAGAATTTTCAATACAAATGTCAAAACAGTTCTACTGTATGGGGCGGAATCCTGGAGAACTACGAAAGCCATCATCCAGAAGATACAGGTGTTTATTAACAGTTGTCTACGCAAAATACTTCGGATCCGTTGACCGGACACTATTGGCAACAACCAATTGTGGGAAAAAACAAACCAGATCCCAATCGAAGAAGAAATCAGGAAGAAGTGCTGGAAGTGGATAGGACACACATTGAGGAAAGCACCCAACTGCGTCACAAGGCAAGGCCTCACATGGAATCCTGAAGATCAAAGGAGGAGAGGAAGACCAAAGAACACATTACGTCGAGAAATGGGGATACATGAGGAAAATGAACAAGAATTGGATGGAACTAGAAAAGAAGGCGGAGGACAGAGTGGGTTGTCAAATGCCGGTCGGCGGCCTATGCTCCATTAGGAGTAACAGGCGTAAGTAAGTAAGTAATACTATTATACAATTGGTTTTCTGCGTGGTCTGGTCTTGCGTGCATATAAATGAATTTCTAAGATATAATAACGATCTCGAACTGACGATCATTGATCTTATGTTTTTCCGCTTCGTTTCATGCTAATTATTATTGGGCCAACTGTCAAACATAGAGAATCAGTCTTCAGCATCCTTGCTGCGTATTGGTTGATTAATGTCGTGGGTTGTTGGACATAGCAGTAATGTATTCAGTGCTTTCTAGTAGTTTTCTAGACTATATTATTATTTACAAGTAATTATATCAACATTTCAAATACCCTCAAAAGGTGGCTTTTCCATTCACCAATTTATTTTGAAACAGTGAGAAGGAATGCAAATTTTTCATCAGCTAAATCAAACGACTAGAGAAGCAAGTTATCATCTATCCTATTAGTTTTCAAACAATGATAAGCCTGCCTAGTGTATAGACTATCATATTAGTTTAATTGTATAATAATTACAAATTTCCTTGAGTTTTCCGGGCTTCTAAAAACTTTAATGATGGGTATTTTTGTACTCTTCAATACTTTGAACACTGAAGATTGTTCTTTGAAGATTCTAATCGATTTATATTATTATTGCTCAGTGTTTTAAATACTTGTTTAGTGAACTTAACTAATAACCACGGTTTTGAGTAGGAACATAAAGTTTCGCGGAACATATATATTTTAAATATAACATGTTGTTTAATGTACAAATCCTCAATTGATTGTTGAATTAAACTATAATTTAACATATCATTCTTTGTATCTACTCAAATGACATTTATCTTCATTAGAAAATGCACAAAATTCCAACCGATACCATTCAAGGTAGTTTTACTGTTGATTAATTTCACTGTACTATCATTCTCATGAATTTCCTATATTCTACTCTCATAACTTCAAATACAAGCATGGAGTTTCTAGGATCTATGATTAATTCAAGATAAAATGTTCTTGGTACAAAGTTTAAATAATGAAATTACTAGTTCTACTGATTTTCTTTAAAAAATAATCAACACATATTTCTTACCTTGGAATTCATATATTGTTGTAATAAATGTCGTAGTTCAGCATTTTGTTTTCTTAAACCGTCTGTATCATGTATTAATTTGGCTCGATGTTTCAATACATTGTAATATTTTTCTAAAGCTAGATATAAATTATTCCATATATCTTCCCATTCTTCAGTGACTATGTTCTGTCTATATAAGCATATATATATATAGTAAGCACGAAAAGAATATTGTTAACATGTATTAAAAAGGATATTTTTCATTCATAATTTTAGAATGGTTGAATTCAGAAGTCGATGTAAGCTACACCACGATTGAAAACCTGGAAGCACTGGATGCAAGATCATGGATCAATTGAAGTTGAACATTAATGCCTTTGGATATCGGTTCAGTGGTCTAGAGGTTAAGTGTTCGCACGTCCGGGTTCGAGTCCAGCGTGAGGGATCGCGGGTGCGTACTTCTGAGGAGTCCCATACCAGGACAAAACGACCGTCCAGTGATCCAATTTTTTCAATCGTGGTCTAACTTACATCGAATGATGAATTCAACTATTAAAATTACTACAATCTCCACAAGTCCGCAATACATTTCGAACAATCTGATCATACATATACTTGTTAAGAACATTGATATATAAAAATAAAGGGTCAACTAGACTGGAAACGCGATAAGAGGAAACAAGGATAATAATACGAGTACTAATAATGTGAACACAATTTTAAACCTGGTCACTTTGAATAATAAGTCAATATTACCAGGGTAGGTTTAAGATGAGAACAAACTGTTTTTGAATACCCCATTTCCAGTCTAGTTGACCTTGTATTTTCATTTATCAAGGTTCTGAACAAGTATATGTGTGATCAGATTGTTCGAAATATATTGCGCTAATATATATCATCACATAGTTGTGATAATCTTCGTCTTCTTATTACATTATCGAAATCCATTATTATTTTTGCGTTTATGACTAACTAACGGATTCGCACTGCTCCAATTGATTTTAAACTTTACCATCTAAACTCAGCAATCATTGTTTCTGATTACCTCATAGACGTCAAACAAGAAAGTTTTACGAGAAGACAACTGTTAGAAACGGGAAAATGAACCAAAAAAGGAGATAATTTGAAATATATTCTCCACGGATTCATTATCGATAATCTTTTTTGAGTAAAGACTAAGCTAATTTAATTTACTGACTATCGATATATCATTTAAAATTCATCAATTATACTTAATTACTTGTATACTTGTTACTCAGTTTTTGTACCACAAATGACTTGGTGTTTTGTACAGATTAATGTTTATTATTTATGGCGCGTTATGATTTTATATTTGATATAAATGATCGTTATTTTGGGAAAAAAACGGATTGCTAGGTTGGGTTGTATCTAGTACCGTCTGATTGAGACAGTGGTTCTATGATCAATCTCACACACACACACTCTCTATTTCGATCATCGATCGATTCACCTGTATTGCCAGTAGGACTAGTGACCTTCCGTTCACCGATCGACATAACGACCAATAAACAACAACCGCGATTTTAACGTTTGTTGGTCCTCGAGATCCTTTTAACCCATTGGTCAGTCAGAAAAAGAAGATACACAAATATTTTCCACTGCGCTCAATTATTAGAACAATTCAATTATTATGGAGTGTACATAACTCGGTTACAAGTGATACAAGATCAGAGAAATAGGGGAATAAATAATTAACGATAAATCTGAAACCATAATACATATGGTAAAAATTTATGGATCAAACAAAAGCTTAGAAATGGTTCATAGAAAATACGACAATTTAAGCATCATTTACAATTTTCACTTTTACATTATTAGTTCCACTAAATGAATAATCATCTGAGATTTTGAAGTTTGAATCGGTTAAATATTTTCGTTTTCTGATTAGAAAGTTAGTGACTAAAGAAATTTCAATTATTTTCAGTATGATATTGTAGAGATTGTTGAATTTCATTAAAATCATGAACTGATCTAAGTTAGACCATCAATGAAAACCTAAAGGCACTAGATGGTCATTTTGTTCTAGTATGAGACTCATCAACAATGCACATCCACGATTCCACATAAGGAAACCAAACACTGTTGAATCCCGGTTCAGTGGTCTAGAGGTGGGCGTGCGAAGCCAAATATTCCGATTTAGAGTCCCACGTACAGAATCATGGATACACACTGCTGAAAAATCCGACACTAAGAAGAATCAGTCGTTCAGTGCTTCCAAATCTTCAATGATAATCTCACTTAGATCGATTTATAATTTTAATTCAAAGCAATAATTTATATCAATTGATTAAATGAAATTTATTATTAAATAAAACAATTTTTGTTTAAAATTTCTTTTGGCATAAATCATATCAACTAATATTTTTGTTGTTCCATTTGTATTATTTAAACTTGGATTAATATTCATCCAATTATTTATTTATTCTCTGAAGAAGTGGCTTAAACTAAGTCACGAAACGTCAACAAAATTTAATTTTCCTACTCATTAGGATATCTACAAAGATAGTTATTTATTCATATCAACTAAAAGTCAGTCAGTACCAACGTAGAACTTCGTATGTACGTACATCAGTTTGAGTTGCCATACCACATTAGCACAGAGATGCAGCTGTCGATTTAAATCCTATAGTGGTAGAGGTAGTAAGAGTATAATCAGTAATCGGAAATATTAGGGTTCAAATATGTTGTTCTAGGAGTATAATCCAGTGAAATAAATTTGGAAAGAGAAAAAAAAGAAATGGACATGAGGAATTCAGAAGATTAGAATTTTGGAGAACACAAATAGTGGATGCACCTGCGTCATTGCAAACGATTTTGAGCCATGTCATTCAAGGTCTCTAACCATCGGTTCCTATCATCTCTCGGATTCAAACCAAGTAGTCTACACCTACCACTTATCAGTGACTTCATAGATTTATGCCACGTTTTGGTCTGGCCACCCCTACCTTTCTTCCAACCTAAACCATAAAACATCACATGTCGAGGTAGTCAGTGGTTGGGCATACGTAACATATATCCCAGCTATCTCACTTACTTATATTTATTCCAATAGATTAAATCATTTGAATCATTACGAATTCTATAATCATCAAATATATTAATTTTATTAAAATTAAATGATTTTTTATTGATTTCAATATTATTTAATGATGATAAATTTTTCATTGTAATTAATGGTAAATTATTTTTGAATTTATGATTTAATTGAATACAAGTTTCTGTAGATTTTGTATTTTTATTGTTCTTATTATCATCATCATCACCACCACTACCACCATCATCATCATCATCATCATCATTATCACCATCATTATGATTATCGATGTTATTTTTATCCTTCGGATGTTTACATCTATGCATATCTTCAGTAAATTTATATATTGCATCAATCACATGTACCGGTGAAATTAAATTCCATTTGAATGAAGATGTTTGAGTTTCATGAGATACGGATGACTTTGGAAATGGAAAGAAAAAAACACCCAATAAAATCTGTTAGTTCTTTTATATAAAAAAAAAACTTATTTATCATTTTAATAGTTGAAATCATGAGTTAATTGAAGTTAGACCATCATGGAAAAGCTGGAAGTAATGGATGTTTGTTACGTTTATGATTGCTGTTTTTGTGTAAAGAGTGTTTTTTCTTCTTTTATATTGCAAATTAGTGTTGTCTTGAAGAATTCTCAAGCATTTATTATTGATGGTGTTTCCAGAAATTATATATATATATATATATATATATATATATATATATATATATATCACTGTTAAGCTTGCGAGTTGAAATCAATTCATTAACATTATTTACTTCAGCCCGTTTCACGATATTGTGCAACTATTTCAAAAATGTATTTAGTGAATGACTGACTACCTCACACCCAATGTAGTCGAACCTTATCAGTTACATAAAATTATCTATAAAAAATCCAAATAACTAAGTACTATTCTGTAATCTTGTCTCCAAATACCCTGGTACGGCCGAAGGTAAGGAGAGTCCGCTCTCCCTCTCGAAATGCTCTCACATGGACACGAGTAAACAGTCACTACCATGGAAGTCCTTTTCACTGCCTTCTCCTAGTAGGGGTATTGTTTACGAAATTGAGGGGACAAAAATTGCATGTCCGACTCTTTAACCGGGTTGGTGGATATAGAGGATCAACCCAGGGGGGTTGGAAAACCAACCGTGCACATCAACCGTGGAATCCTAAAGGAACGAAAAGCGTATGATTCTATTGTTGGTCACGGGCTACCACGGGACTGCATCTCCTGACGTTGCTCCACTGTCTTGAGGATTAGACCTCTAGGTCGAAGGCCTTGAGAGTGGCCCCCCTAAGAAAAACACCTGGTTTGGTTTGGGCACTCGGGTAGTGTTATAGCCCTCACACAAATCGAATGATTTATGTTGCAAATATATATTTGGTGCCTCCTTGTACCAATGTTTATCTGTTTAAGTAAATAAATATTCCATAGTTTGCGTATTGTTATTTTGTTTGTTGAGCAAATCAAATTCAGATTGTTTTTGTAAAGACAAATTCAAAATAATGATGATCTAAAATGTTGGGAAAATAGCACTGACAACACTCATTTATATAAACAACTGTAAATGAAAATGACCTTAATTGACTACATTCAAGTGTTACTTTAACGATGATAAATGTCATATTAAATATCACTTCTTGAATCTCTTACAAATTGGTCGTTACTAATTAATTCATTCCTTCCTACTATGTAATGTATAAACAAGGTCTAAGCAACAAATATGTATTAAATTGAAAACAGCCAACAGCTTTAAATCAAAATATAGTGTACTTGACACTGAGTCACATAGACTAGTGGCGACATTGGAACTTGACTAATTCGATTCGATTAGTATTAAGGATTAGACATAAATGACACTGACCACTATTAAGTGAACAATTTATATGAACACCCTAATCAAACAGAAGGTTAATTGTGGGACTAAATGGTCAGTGATGACATCTCAGATTGTGAAGTTGGATGATTCGGCTTCGAATGAGACATGGAGTATCCATTTCTTACAGATTCCTGCTGTAAATTGTTCACAAGTATCAATTGACACAAAATCTAAGTCAAATAGGATTCCTTGTTGACTACCTCCAACCATCAAGCAATTAAAATACATCAACTGAGCAATAAACATGAAAGTAATAAATACCTCTTAACAAGTGGTATCGTAGTAACAACATTAGACCAAACAATGGTTTGGAGAGAGATTTTGAAACTGTGTATATTATATTACAGATTAATCTTAGTTAAATAACCATTAAAAAACAGGGACCACTGGATTTTAGTATTGTTCTTCAGCAATGGACAACCATGAATCCATTGAGGATCGAAATCGAGACTTTTAGATCTTTTAGTGACAGTTTAACCTTTAGATCACTAACCTAACATTCAATATCCTACATATCTAAAGTCGATCAATTCAAAATATTGTTTAAGCATCTTTTAATGCCATCGATTAGTAACTATTTCACGAATGATATGGTCATGGTCCAACAATTATCTCCTTCATCAAGTTATTACTAATTAATTATATGCCTAATTTAAAGACAAAACATTTTAATGATTGTTTTGTCCAAAAAAACATATTTCATTTTTATCTAATGAAGTAAGAAATCAAAAGAAAACGAGTACAAATAAAACAAAAAGTTTTTCTAAAAATTTACTTACTTCATCAGCTTTTATTTCATCATCTGAATGATCAATCTTTATTGAACATTTTCCATTAACAGTTGATTGAACTTTATTACTTTCATCTTGTGAGCTGGTATATTTCGATGGAGATTTCTGAAGAGATTCACCTGTGAAATTTGATTTAATTGAGTAAAATTTTTATTTAAAACTGATAAGATGGTTATGAGCAAAGATGGACGGTGGCTAGCAGTGGAATCCAGGACGCGAGTTTCATCCTATTTCGGACTTCTCAGCTGGATGTACGTGCATCCTAGAGTTTATGTCCACCCTAGGATTCGAACCTAGTACCGTTCGCTTCAAACGCTATCGCGTTATCCACTTAGCTACTGAGTCCTGATAACCAACTGCTTGTGCAATGGGGTGAAGTTTGAATTCGCTCAGTATTGTTTAATTGAATTTTCCCATTGATGATTGAGACTGCAATTGATCAGTCTCGTATTGGCATATGTGCATACTGTGCGTACTGCCTTGATATTGCCTTAATTCACTTAAGCTAGAGAACTATTGGAAACTAGAGGTTGGTGCAAACCTGTTTTGTGTTCGTTTTAGCCTCTTTAGTAGTATGTTCCTAAAACCTACCTTCTTCTTCAAGATTTCATTTGAGATAGTAGCACATTCCTACAATTGAAGGACATGTGGAACTCAAAACAACTGTAAACCAATATCAAAGTCAGAATCTTCAACACGAACGTCAAGACTTTCCTAATGTACGGAACTGAAACTTGGATAACTACTACAACTATAATCAAAAAGGTCCAAGTATCTATAAACAGTTATTTACTCAAGATACTCAATTTTCGTTAGTCGAATACCATCAGCAACAGGCTACTGTGACAGAGAACAAACCAACTTCCAATTGAGGGGGAAATCAGGAAAAGACGTTGGAAGTGGATAGGACATTTTAAGCGGACATGAGATGGATGAATAGCACCTGGAAACAAATGGAAAGGATTACTCAGGACAGAGTTGGATAAAGAATGTTGGTGGGCGTTCTATGCTCCTCGAGGAGGGGTAACAGGCGTAAGTAAGTAAGTATCTATACTAAACGCACATTATTCGACAAGATAAACTGTTTAAAAGTAACCATTTATTGTTGATAATGTTTAAAGCATTCATTTGGACTTTAAAAAGAAACCCCACCACTACGTCGAATTAATTAGTTTAATGTATATACTTCAATCTAATCAACATAATTCAGCTCATCATCTATGTTAAGATAGGACTTTGATTGGTACACATCGACTGCCTAGTGTGATCTGACAAAACACTTTAGCCCCCCTCCACTCGACAAACAAACAGAACCCACATAGATCATTTGTAGTAGAAACTCTCATAACTAATAAATACAATAATAATGTTTGCGAAACTCCGAAACACTCTAAAGTTCAGTCGAGTAAACACTTTTAAAGCTAAACGAACTAAATAAATACAAATCTTTATTGTTAATGGATGGCAAATAAACAAATCACTAGAAGTAAACAACATAACTAAGGGGACGTATTTCGTCCTTATTTCTGACTTGTCGCTAGGGTGTACTGGGACTTTAGTACCGATGTTCACAATAATGTATGAATCCAGTACCGAATGAAATTACTATAGCATTTAATTATTGTAGTACCTATAACAATGAGTGGATTAAGAATAGTGTACTAAGTAAATATGCGAAATCGATTGATGAAGTGGTAAATATTCATCAACTGAGTTGACTGGGACATGTGTTATGTATTCTCAGCCACAGTCTACCTCGATGGTTGATGTTAATAGGTGCAGATTATCTAGTTATCGTCCACATGATTATCATAGCCAATGTTTAGAAATTTTGAATAATATGGCTCAAAATCATTTGCAATGGTGCAAGTGTATCCATTCTCTGGCTTTCTTCAAATTCTGGGTCAATGAAATTCTCAAATCGTTTTTTGTATCTTTATTTCACTAATTTGTATTTTCTTGAATCGTATCTTCGATACTTAATCTTTACTATTATTAATGATACTGTCACGAATCCGACTATTCTAAAATTTGGCGTGACAATTTCATCTCTCCGTGCTTATGTGGCATAACAATTTGAACTAATGTATACATGTACAGGTTCTACGTTGTTACTGGCTGACCGACCGAGTACTTTCAACAATAATGGAAGTTGTAGTAAACTTATAATCCTTTAACAAATCAAGTATACATCAAGTTAATTTGTTTTATATCTGTAGAAAAATTAAATGCTGCAAATAACTGTGTTCAACTTTATTGAATTTTGAAAAATTCAAATGACTATAGAATAGTATACTTACTTGATTCTTCAATGGTTGTTGAAGGTACACGTTTAAGCTGAGATTTATTATCTTTTTGTTGTTCGACAAAATATGTAAATAACATATTTAAATCTTCTTCTGTTTGTACACCTAAAACCTACATAGAAAAAAGACAACAACAACAACAACAATAAACCAACGATTCAAGATTGTAAGATTTCATGATGTTTTCATGAAACAATCATATCACATTTCCAAAAATTATGCTATCAAATAAGTGAATTTGTCATGATTCAGTTCTTATAGTATATAAGCAGTTATAACTTGAGGCCATAATGTAGGATGACCACTTTAGAGATGTTCTTTGTCTTTACACACTATGTTTATCCAACAGTTGTAAAAGATTTTTTGAAGGTAACTTTTCATTGCCTCAGACTTATCAAAGTTAATTCACTCAATTGATTCAACTATAAGGATTAAGTTTTTATTGAACTTAATAGTATTCAAGATAAAATTTTCATCTGTAAGAAAGGATAATAATATTTTGAAAAATATTGACATTCTAGATATATTCTATTTTCAGGTTAATGAAGAAAAGATGATTATCTTGTTAGTCTCATTTGGTGAGATAAATGGATCAGATTCGTTCAGGTAAAATCGATTATTGAACAGAAAGACTAAAATTTCTATATTTTACAAAGTTGTATAAATCATTTCAGTTAGATAAAAGACTAAACTTTGACCGACAATAAAATGAGTATTGTAAAGAACATAGAACAAATAGAACATGACTAGCAGTGAAATCCAGGATGAAAGCACAAAACTATCGTTTCGTTCTAGTATGGGACTCCTCAACAGCGCTCACCCACGATTCCCCACGTGGGACTGGAACCCACATTTGGTTTCGTGCAGGAACGTTTAACCTTGTGAATTCAACTGTTAAAGTACTACAATATTCACAAATATCCATACTAATAATAATCACGTGTTCACTAGTGATCAACTTCAAGATGGACTCCCTGGAGTTCTAGTGAGAAATCGTGACAAGTGGAGCCCAGTTCGTGTCGAGTGTGAGGCAGTTATTTACCTCAGACAATCGATAAAGGGTTGCGCAAGATCATGGATCGGTTGAAGTTAGACATAAACACCGTCGGGTGCCAGCTAACTGGTTGAGAGGTCAAGTGTTCCTCTGAGAGACCAAATGTCCTGAGTTGGAGTCCCTCATGAAGGATCGTGGATGCACACTTCTAAGGAGTCCCATATTAGGACGAGATGGCTGTTCGATGCTTCCTGACTTTCACTGGTAACCTAACATTGATCAATTCATGATCTCCATAAAAACTCAACAATCTCCATAACCCTACACTGTTAATATTTATTCAATTTAACTTTTTTTCAAAAACCTACTTACCGTTAGTATTGTATCTAGACGTAGAAGTAACCCTTCTTCATATCCTAACGGTTCTAACAAACGTTTTATGTTTTCATCAATTAAAAATTCCTACAATTATTGTTATAACACAAAAAGCATTAGTGTCATTTAACTAAAATGTAAAGTGATAAAAGTTCGAATTTCTCTTTGTTTTTTACCCATCAATTTTGAATATAATTGTTAAATCTCAACCAGTACTATTGTGGTGTGTGCTACTTATACTGACATAAGTAGTATATGATGTTAGTCGTAAACAGAAGGTCTGGCAGAAGAGAGACAAGAGGATCGAACAACAAAGAATGGAAACAGTATGCAATTTGTATGAAAATGCAACAACAATGAAGTCTGGGTCATTTTGTGACAATTGGTGAACATTTTGCAAATTAAGCATTTACTTTATGATTGTTAGATTTTATTAACAAGTCCTGTAATTTTGTGTTAAATACATTCGATTGTCCCCACCCGTGTTCTGTTCACTACAGCATGAGGCCAATCATCATTTTGTCAATGTTCAGTAAAAGTGTGATATCTCAAATTTTCTAGAATTGTTTTGTCCGTATAGTGTGTCAGTGGTGTAAGATTATAATTTCCTCTGATTTCAATTTAATCTTCTGTAGTTATCTACAGAACACGTCTGTGTAACACATTTCAACTTATCGTATGAAAAGAGCAAATAATAATGAAATTTAGAGCCTGAAATGAAATCCATGGTGAAAATTATGTTGTTACGTCCAGGATTCACTCACTAAATAATAATGCACGTATATTGAACATTGAAAAGCGAATCCACAACAAATTCTTGAACATATATTTCATCCCCAGTTAGTATAAACTAATGGATGGAAGAGATATGCTCATCATACTGGGATTCAAATGTATACCACTTAGAAGCACTCAGCCAATATACTTATCATTGAGTTACTTAGTAAAAAACATTTAAAATAACAACCATGGTTAACTGATAGTCCAAATTCGATAATTCAATACTGTTTATTGTCGTATGATGTATTTAAATCATCATGTTGGATAAATTGGTTGACATACTTTGATGTAAATTTTTGAATGAATCAATAAACGTTCACTTCTTATAGAGTGGACACAGTCCACAGATCGAATGCTATCGATCATGTTGCAATGTGGCCACCATCTAATCTCAATGTATAGTGCCCGCAGTGTCGAGTCACTTAGCATTCGATCTGCACTAAATAAGGACTTGACACACATGACATTGATCACCACCCAGTGATCAATCAATTATAAATATTATGCATTTTTAAAGTCTAATTAAATTATGAGGAAATAATACGAAAACTTACAGGCTCATAACACAGTAAGTGCAAAAATTCTTGTACAGTTTTTGATGAAACTTCTTTCAATGTTGTAGGTATTTTATTTTCTGAGGTTACATTCTGTGAATCTGGAAAGGTTCTAAAAAATTTAAAGTTAATCGATATTTAGAAAAAATATAGTGGCTTATACAACGCTTAAATAGGTAATCTGAAGAATGAATCCGAGAAAATCAGACTGATTTTAGACCCAGATTTAGACGTACCGACTAAATATTCACCTCATATAAGATTATGAAACATTTCAGTCAGTCAGTAACAACGTAGAACTTCGTACGTACGTACATCAGTTCAAGTTGCCATACCACATTAGCACAGAGATGCAGTTGTCGATTCGAATCCCGTAGTGATAGAGGCGGTAAGAGTATAAGCAGTAATCGGGAAGATTAGGGTTTGGAGATGTTATTTAAAGAGTATAATCCAGTGAAATAAAGTTGGAAAGAGGAAGAAATGGACATGAAGAATTCAGAAGATTAGAATTTGGGAGAACACAAAGAGTGGATGCACCTGCGCCATTGCAAACGATTTTGAGCCATGTCATTCATGGTCTCTAACCATCGGTTGCTATCATCTCGTGGTCCCCAACCAGGTAGTCTACACCTACCAACATGGCTCAGTCCCATTAAATCATTGGTTTTAAAATTATCTGATACTTTTTCACTTCATGACTTTATATTCTCTTTTCATTGTGACTATCCATTTTCAATGCTTCCTATTACCGTAACTATTTGTGCTACTCTAGTATTTCAGTGTAATGTGGTGTTGTGACAACATATACCGATGTATAAAATGACACATTTTATGTTGCGCGTATAACTGACTGACTGATTGGTTGACTACTAAAGTATTGGTGATTATTAGCAAGATGAGCTATTAATGAGTTTTCAGTAGACAATCTATACATCTGTACTTTGTCTGAGTTTAAAACTATCAAATTCCAGTGTATACTAATGTTATGAAATGATCAAACTGAAATATTTCAAACATAAAATATCAACTAATCACTGATTCATCATAAAGTTAGACAAAGAAAATCACTATTGGTCTATACTCAATGTTACATAGATTTTATAAATATCAATTATCAATAGTGTAAGTTATATGCTTAATTGAATACAAGTTCTAAATGGGATAGAAGAATAAATTTTCAATTTACTTCTTGTCAGATTGTAAGGCTAATTCCATTGCAATTATAGCTGGAGGTATACTGGTGATCTGTTTCACTGGACCTACATTCTCCATGAATGATCTAGAAAAAAAACAATGAAATGTACCATATATATGTCACTGGAGATCATCAATAGTAGTTACTAATTATGAGCATATTCATTTTCTTAGTTATTTTTATTTACAACTATGATATATTCATTTATGGGATTTCGGTAAACAGATACTCGTAAAAGTCTTAAAATGTAGATAATTTTAATTAACATGAAGAATTTATGGAGATTATTCAATTTGAAGATAGTTTACGTCTCGCAGACCTATTGTAAGATCACAAGTGTTCAAAACAAGAAAGCATTGTATAACTGCTTTCGTCGTGGTATATAATTTCTTGGTAGTATTCATTTACGAAGCCACTGTTAACCGAATTCAAGATCTTCAGACATTGCAGAGATTCTGTTATCATCAGATTTAGTAATGTGTTTTTTGAGCTTGATAGTTAAGCTACGACGTTTTCATTGTGTTACTTCTAAACAACATCATCAACACAAACAAGTCAAGGAGTAGAACGAGAGTTTCATGACTAAACTACTCAACAAGAACACAAAAATATTCTACAATAAATTGTAAATATTCACCATCATCTCGAACTGCAAATGGGACAAAGAATTTCATATTTCTTTAAGAATTTTGGTATAATGGCTCTTATGTTAATGATACCGACTTACGTTTTCGTGTTGAATTATTATTAGCAAAGCATGTTTGATGTTAAAGTTCAATCAAAACTACGGTTACGATAAAAAATACAACTTAGTAATTAAGTGCACATTCCTGCACTCAATTTGGACCATAATTTACTTTTGATATGTAGAGGTTTTTAGTAATATTACTAGGCCTCCCAAACTGCACTAAGTAGATTGTGACTCAAGTTTATTTAAACACCGAAGCCTAGTACATTCAAGTCTCACTGAGAGTACGAAATGTTTAGACTACTAAGCCTAAGTCAACTGCATCATTTGTTATTATTTTGATCAATCTGTGATGTAAAGTGATCCCTATATAATTCCACTATTCAGTCAATGACCTCATTCTCGACTTGTATGCGCCTCCAATGTTTACGACTTTCCACCTCATAGAATTAATTTCGAAGCTAATTATTAATAGTTATGTAATAAATCAAGTGTCAATCAGTTATTGTCTCTGATACCAGAACTATATCTTTATAACAATCGTACGAAATGATCATGTTTATTTACTTACTGACCTTAAAAAATAGTACCATTGAATGTAAAAATTATTAATCAATAAAAGCATTAATGAATAGTAGTTTCGGTTCTATCTAAATGCTCTACCAACTGAGCTAGCCGGGCTGCCTCCAAATGCCCTGGTACGGCCGAGAGTTGGGAGAGTCCGCTCTCCTTCTCGAAATGCTCTCACATGGCCATGAGTATATAGCCTCTGCCAGGGAAGTTCTACTCATTGCCTTCTCGTGGCGAGGGTGTTGTTTACGAAATTGGGAGGACAAAAAGCGAGTGTCCAGTGCTTTAACCGGGTTGATAGACACGGAGAGTTTACTTAAAGTAGTTGGAAAACTCTAATTCCAAACCACTGGTGCACATGGGCTCCAGTACCCCGAGGGAACAAATGGCGTATGAACCAATCGTTGGTCACCGGCTACCATGAGACTACATCTCCTTACGATGATCCACTGCCTTGTGGGTCAGCCCTTCAGGTCGAAGGCTTATGATGGTGGCCCCCTAAGAAAACTACCTGCTTCGGTTTTGGCACACGGACAGTATCACACCCCTTACACAAATCAAATGAGATTTGTGTAACGCATATGTATTTGGTGCCTCCTTGTACCAATATGTATGTATTAAAAATAAATAAATAAATCTATTTAAATATCCAGTGAAAATGCCAAATAAAGGAAAAAAACTTCTAAAAACTGCAATTTTGTTTTCAGTAAATAAAAAAAAAGAAATATTTACATATCTGGTGGATTCCATGTTAAGCCAAGTTGTTGTTCAGTAATAATTCGATGTGCTTCCAAAAGACGATTACCTAATTGTTTCAAATTCTCTTCATTCATTATCCAAATATCATGAAAATTTCGTTGTACACTTTCTATTAACAATCTTAATTAAGGTGTGTTTTTTTAAAAAAAATAATAAATACGAGATTTGAATAACTCGTTAAAATTGTTTGTTGTTTTAATTAAACAAATTGTTATTTATGAAAAGAAAAAGAATATAAAATGATCATGTTAGCTGATTTTTATGAGAAATCATATTGACGACAGAACTGTTCATCTTCGTAGTTTAAATCTAGAACTAACCATAGCTAGATCATTATTGAGAACCTGGAAGCACTGTACAACAGTTTTATCCTAATATGGGACATATCAACAGTGTGCGTCTATCACATTGCATTTGTAAAGCAATCCAGGACTTTTAATCTCATTGTACATCATTGGGTTCCGGCTCAATAGTCTAGAGGTTAAGCGTTAGCGCTTAAGACATGGGTTTAACTCACTGCGGTTAGATTTTGTGTGCTCACTGTTGAAGAATCACATATTAGAACAAAACAACTATTCAGTGCTTTCAGGTTTTTCAATGGTGATCTTAATACGATCCGTTCGTGACATAAACTACGAAAGTTTTACAATCTCCACAAATCCCCTCTACACTAATTAAAATTATATATGATAATGTTTTAAGTATATATGGTAAGAATGGTGATCGGTTTAACATAAATATAGCGTGAGTATCAACAATCTTGTTTGCATTTCCCTAACTCATATCATTTGTGGTGAGACACCCGTCTTCGCATCAAGAATAGAGCTTACTGTTTAAAACTTCGTTTTGTCTTAATTCATGATTTTTGAAAATGAGGGATATATACAAGTTACTAGTATTCGATAGTAGATGTCTTCACAGAATAAGTTAATCATAGTGAAACCACTGAGTGACTAATGCTGAGGTAAGGAGCACATTACTAAGTAGAATCATGTTGTGGACCTCTATCCACTGGTGTGCTTAGAATACTGATTACACGTACTCAAAAACCCATTATCCTAATGTTCAGTATTGGCTAGAATAAAACCATATTAAAATCAAGCAAACAACATACAAACGGAGGTTTTGTGATATCCCGAAGATATATTTATTATTTATTTTCTACCCAATGCTCAATTTATTTGAGATATCAAGTCCAACCTTGGGATTGATACTTACAGACAAACGGAAGGTTCGAATCATGTCATAAGATAATTAAAAATTCGTCTGAGCTACACCAGTAAATACAAACATCCAAACTTGCATCCCCTCAGTAACTATGATCAATGACTATACACCTTGAATGATATGCCCTAACTCGTTGGGGGTAACAGGTTTTGATAAGATGACGACATCTCTAGTCAATAAACTATGGCGATGTTAACAGAAATTCAAAAATTCAACCCATGATACAATAGAATGAAGTGAGATATTACTGTATCATAACTAAACATAAATTATGATTAACCGATATACTCCAACCATGAATTTCACATCACGCCATAAGGTTCAACCACCAATCGATAACTTCATGGATTATTATCATGTCTTGATCTAATCGCCTTCAGTGTACATAGAGATGAGTGATAAAGATGAGTGTGTAGCATATCTGTCAACAATCTCAGTCGATGAAGACTAAGGTCCTGATCAGCTTATTCAGTGTCTCTACTTATTACTCTATAGTTTTCCACTTCAAAGCTTCTATCACACACGATCAATATTTTGAAAGAATCTATGATGATTGATTGGCAATTTAGGTATATCATTTACATGAACAGGATATGTTTCACAGAAACTACATAGAGTCATAAATGTAATCCTACTAGATAATTTGAAACCAATAACAAAACAAATTTTACACATTACACCCAATTCTCATTTGTAGTCTTAATGTCTTTAATCAGTTTATAATAAACACAATTTGTTTTCTAGTTTTCTAATTTAAGGGCTAAATAAAAATGAAGCAGTTGCACTATACACAGAATCATACTTTGATTTCTTTTGTAAATCACTATAATTTTCCATTCTTCTTTTATAATCTTCAGATAACTGTTCATTTTCTACTCTAAAAGAAAACAGGATAATAATAATAACAATGGGGAGAATCAGAATTATTTCCCATGTGATAATATTAGCTATTTTGTGTAACAATATAATGAGCTCCATGTTACGTGAAAAAAAAGCATCCACTCTATAAAGAGTAATTTGTCTTTTTGTAAAATGTTTTATTATTTAGACAACTTTATGAGATATTTCAGGTATCTTGTCAGTATGATTGGGTTGAAAAACCGATTCATAATGTAATAAGAAGCTTATTTACGCCTGTTACTCCTCTTCGAGGAGCATAAGCCACCAGCATTCTCCATACAACTCTGTCCTTAGTAATCCTTCCCGTATGTTTTCAGATGCTATTCATTCTTCTAATGTCTGCTTCCGATTCTCATCGCAGTGTGTTCTTCGACCTTCCTCTTTAGCGTTTCCCTTCAGGACTTTTATTTGGGGTATGCCTAGTGATAAAGCTTGGTGATTTCCGTAATGTATGTCTTATCGACTTCCATCATCTCTTCCTAATTTCCTACTCAGCTGGAAGCTAGTTTGTCCTCTCCCATAGCAGGCTGTTGCTGATGGTATTCAACTAACGAAAATTGAGTATATTGCGTAGAAAATTGATTATAAATACTTGTGCCATTTTGATGATAGTTGTGGTAGTTCTCCACGTTTTAGCTCTGTTCGTATTGAAGATTCTCACTTTGATACTGGTTGACAGTTGTTTTGATTTCCATATGTCCTTCAATTGTAATAATGCTGTCCTTAATTTGCCAACCCTACCCTGTACGTCTAAACAAGATCCTTCTTGTTCATCGATGATGCTTCTCAGGTACGTGAAGGATTCCACCTCTTCCAGAGTTTCTCCATCAAGCGTGATTAGGTTGGTGTTTTCTGTGTTGCATTTGGGGATCTTTCTTTTTTCTTTGTGTATGTTGAGGCCTATTTATGTAGAGGCTTTTGCTATACTAGTTGTCTTCGTCTGCATTTGTTCGTGTGTATGGAATAGAATAGCTAGGTTATCTGTGAAGTTCAAACCGTCTAGTTGCGTGTAAGCTGTCCATTGTATTCCGTGCCTCCCCCCAAATGTGGAGGTCTTCGTGATCCAGTTAACCACCAGAAGAAGGCGAAAGGATGATAGCAATCAACCTTGTCTGACTCCGGTTCTCACTTGGAATGCGTCTGTCAGCTGTCCTCTCTGCACGACTTTGCACTGTAGTCAGGAAACTGTAGTTACAATAATTGTATTTATATGTATATACTACTTACATGTAAGTTGCTTGCTATTAAAAACTACAAAACACGCTAACAAAACGATATGAAGCAGATTAAATTTCGTGGAGGAAAATCACTGTGGAAGTGAACAGTGATGGTCAAGTAATTAATATTACTCAAGTTTTATTTGAGACAAAAGAGGATAATTCATTTTAAATTAAAAGCAAGTTCGAAGTCTAAAACAGAGATAACGTTAGACATTGATTGACTGATATATTGCAATAAATGAGCGACTTTCATATAGTGAGATGAAGCTTTAAATTCAACTTTTATTTGTTTGAATAGACAACCTTTCATCAAACATTATTTTATCACCCATTCACCATTTTAATGAATGAGAACACATGTGGGGAAAACCAACTGTGTTTTAATAGAAAATTAGAGTGTTTTTCATCAAATGTGAAAACTATACATTCAATACTTCATTTGTAAATCCTCCATCAATTTTTTCAAACTTCATCGTTCCTTCATTACTATAACAAATACTCTCTGTTTCCGTTCTCTTCAATTCGATCTTCCCAACCATCTACTGCCAGATATTCCATTTCTGAGTGGAGCTGTATACAACTTATGTTTGTCGATATATATAAGTAGCATACACCACACTATTATATATGTAAGTTTTATTCCATGATGTTGAGTACTTTAAGATTTAAGTAATAAATCCTTAATAATTCTATCAATCAGGACAACAATGAAAGTATTTTAATTAAGCCAACAAGCTTGAAGAATTCAACACCATTAAATACACTCTTCTCGTAAAATTTTTATTTATAAGATAGAAAATAAATATGTATGTGTTAGCGGTACATAGATTGGATTAAAGCATGCTCCATGCACGATCGCGTTGGCGCACACTGATTGGCTAATTCTTATACAGTCAGTGTTAGTCGATACTTGGAGTACACTCTAGAATCTTTTCATGTAAAAACTATAAATATACTAACGTTTTCCCTATTGTGCTTCTTACTTCCATCTAACCTTGTTATCTGGAATATTATCTCTTTCCTGTTCAATCGTGTTCTGATTTGGGGACTTGTTGAGTGAATTGATGTCCGAGAATACTAAGCAATAGGAATAGCTAGGTTGTAATAAGAGAGAATTATAACAGTATGACTTAGTCAAAACGCAGATATAAATCACAAAATATAACTGTAAATTGTCAACAGTCTCAATTGAATTAATACTCCCACCAAAGAAACACATACTACTCACTTGTATTGTTGTTCTTGTTTAGTTGATTTTATACGTAAATTATTCAATGTATCTTGTAGACGTGTAATTCTTCTCTTTTGATTTGATTTAAGCACTGTATTCTCTTCATCACGTCGTTTTAAAACTTGATAATTATAATCTAATTTTTCTAAATTCAATTGATATGTAGATTTTAATTTTTGTAAATGACTTTCAAATGTCTAAATTCCACAGCAACAAAAAACAAAGTGTATACTAAAGTTAAATAATATATTGAATGAATTACATAGGGTTCTATTTATATACAAAACACTTCATCTTCACAAACTAAGTGACTGATTGATTATATTTAAGTAATACAATAATCGAGTTTGTAAATAAGTTTCTTCATCTAGGTCGTTTCGTTTTCTATTGTGTCTAATTAGTTTCAGTTCTACCTCATAATGACTTGTCTGGATTGTAAGAACATAATAAAACTAAAAGAATCTGCGTCCGATTAGTAGGGAAGATGATTGAAAGTGATGTGTGTTGAATGTTCAAGTAGATTGGTGTTATACAGTAATTACTTATCAGACTTACACATATTCGGTAACGCACAAAGTTCACTATCCCCCCTCAGAAAAAACTATTCAGAGCTTCCATATAAAAAGAAACATCCCCTGTCTTCCCTTCACAGAGAGGTCGATAATGAATAACACCATGAACGTATATATTTTCTCATTTATGATCCATAATTCGGTTTTTATTATTTGTTAAATTACATCAGATAAATTTTGTATTCTTAGATGAATGATTTTGTTGCTCGATGTTCACTCAGTCATGTCGAAAAAAGAAACAATTTAAGGTAACAGTCCTACTTACAAGATAATGGCAGCTTTCATCAGTTAACAGTTAAATAAAAATAGGTTCCCAAGTTTAAACTAACTCTACACTTGAGAAGATAAATAAGAACACAGAAATTTTAGAGCCGTTTCAAACAATAATGTCAGTATAAAATATACCGGTATGTGTAAAGATGTTTTTAAGTTTCTTTCAGAATCAAGGGCGGCCTGCTTGAGCATCTGGGCTACCTGTTCCTGCCATCTAGATATTTCAACAAGTTATCTATTGTTGTTTGTTTTAATATATCATTATGTTTATTAATCGCATAACCTATTCTGCTGCGTTTCTGAAAAGTGTACAACCTTTCGTTGTCAAAGTTACAGAAAATTCAATAAGAGACAATATGGTTGCTGGCAATGTACAACGAAAAGAATGTACATTATTCAGTTGTTCATTCACTGAAGTGCTAACATCTAACTGGCGATTCCTCAATATTTATCGCCAGGACCGACCAAGAAGAAAGAAACGGAAACTTGTTGAAATACTTTGCGCTGAGAATTCTATATTGTACCAAAATTATAATATTGAATAAAGCTAATAATAATAATAATAATAATAATAATAATAAGACTGTGATTTTATGGCTCCAATTGAATTATGTAAAGATGAAAATGCACTGAAAAGTCGCATTTCTATTAGTCAACAATACATTACGACATTATACTATGGTAAAAATTGCAATATCAGAGTACAAGAATACAAATAGTCAATATGGTAACATGTGCAAAACTCTTTTAAATCACCGACCAAAAAGTATATAACAATAATAACAAGTTTGATTATATAGTATATGTAATACTGAACGAAAATTTACAAAAATACATCAAACAATTGTCATCCTGTAGTTGATTTCACGATTGATGTTAATTAAGCAATCATTGAATTTAGTAATCAGTTGACATTTATCCCGTGCTAATCATGTACGCTCATCAGTGACTGATTTCAACAGGTAACTCCCGAATATATAAACTATTGAATAACAAACTAATAGTCTGAAAGTTAAGCGCTGACTGGCAGACGTAAAAGTCCTGGGTTCGATCCCCGATAGAGCAACCGATGCATGTTGTTAATAAGTACGGTTTTAAGAATGAAAAGGTGTCCAGTGATTTACGGTTCGCAAAGTTGTTTATCTAAAAGTAGTCCGTAACGCAAACGATGAAACCCTCTATATTACTTGTGCTGTCTACTTAACAGAATCATTGGTTGAATTCAGTTAACGTTCTATTAATTGTCAAGTAGAATACATTGAAATAACCTTTTTAGATTATCATTTACATTCATAACATAATCGTTGTGAATGCTGATTACTTTTCTCACCTACTAATCCCTCTTCCCATAATATATCACAGAAGTATATAAATCTAGTCTAATATATTTGCGAGATGTAAAAGATTATAATTTTCTCATTATCATGATTAATTTACTGACTTACCTCGACTTCAGCGCCCAATGATATTTTCAGTGCATTGTACTCTTCTGAATATTTAGTGCGTAGATCATAAAGTTCTTTCTCATATTCAATAGCCTGATCTTCACGTTGTTTTAAATAATTAGTCTATGAGAGTCATATAAAAAAGAAAATTAATCAATGGGAATAGAATAAATACACCAGTCTAATAGACACTATAAATTGAAACAAACTGATTACCTCGATACGCGATGTTGTCTGGAGTAGACTGTAAGAAAGCCAATGAGTTACTAAATGGAGATGGAGCATCAGTCCATGAAGTCATTCAGCATTGAATTGAGACATGCTGGTAGGTGCAGACTACCTGGTTGTGATCCATGTGATTATCATAACCAATGGTTGGAGATGTTCAGTGATACGGGTCAAACTAGGTTTGAATGACGTAGGTGTATTTGTTCTGCCCTCAAACATCCATGCATTCCATTTTGCAAACTCCTTCTTTTTAAGTCATATCGTATAACCATAATCTTTTCTACTATAACTGATACTTCCATTACTTGTACTACTCTGTGACCTATCTTGATATTCTCATTTTTCTGTGTTGATATGGTGTGTGAGTTTGAAGCGATACATACTTGCAGCAGATTCTATATTGCTTATGATCCATGTCTTGTACCAAATACTTAATACGAAGATGGTCATAGGATTAGTCTTAATAAGAATAACCATTTCGAAATGTTGCATCAAATTGGTCTAAGGTGAAATCATCTATAGATCTGTTAAATTTTTAGCTTTCTTTTATGTATATTAAAAAAGACTGTTGGTACCTACATTAAACCAAGGTAAAATTGGTTCCAATTTTATTGATATAATGATTGGTGTACAGATAGTATCATTCGTTTCTGATGATTTTTTTGCTGTACTTATGTTTTCATTTGTTAAATTTAAATTCTACAAAACCCATGTTGATATTGTTGTCTAGAAGGACAGTGAAAACTTTACATGTAAATTAACTTTTGTGACGTGCGGTGTCCGATTTCGATATTGATACACGATCTTTCCAAACATGAACCCAATCGGCTACTTGAATAAGAAGGAAGTTTACTGACTAAATTCAGTCGGCATTCATATATCCCTCACAAAATTGAACCGCCAATGGTGCATGTCTCGTTTCTTAGAGATGTGAGCCATTTCTTGACCACTCATGACCACTTATCACCAGGCCGGTTTTTATTGGCCTTACGCATACTATGTAGCTCAGAGATCTCAACCTTACTGTAATCCTTCAGATCGTTTTTATATGGAGCATAAAATATTTGATTTATTAAACTGTATGTTCAAATCCCTCCATTTTTAATGATAATATTATACAATAATCGTTACTGTTGTGTTTAATGATAAGTGTGCTACCATGAGCTTGATAAATTACGTTCGATCATCTCTATGTATCAGCTATGTGAAATGGCGCTTAAGTAGTGACAAACAGTTTATAAGTAATGATAACAGCATATATTAGTACACGTCAAAACTTACTGCATTTTATAAAAGTTATATCATGATTAAAAATAGCTGACAGATTTCATGCGGAAGGGGGGGGCGTAGGAGAATAAGAATTATAAATGCCTACCACTTTTCCTTTTTAGAAAAGTATCATGATCGGTTCATGAAATCAATTAAGACTCAACAATCTCCACAGCCCTATACTGATAAATGTCATGTGCTTACTAGTGACTAGCCTCAAAAAGTAATTCTCAGAGTTTTAGTGAGAAGCCGTCACCAGTGAAGTTCAACCGTGTCAGGTGTGAGGCGATTACCTACCAAAGACAATGAAGGATGGTAGCACAATATTGTGGATTGTTTAAAGTTGGACATTAACCCGTCGGACGCCGGTTCAATGGTCTAGAGGTCAAGAGTTCGCACACGGGACTAAAAGTCCTGGGTTCGAGTCCCTTTGGGGAGAGATCGTAGATGCATACTACCGAAGAATCTCGTACTAGAACGAAACGGGTTTTCGATGGTAGTCTAACACTGATCGGTTCATGAACTCAATAAAAACTATCATGTAATTGATTTATTCCCACTCTTTAAGTATGTCTGATAATAGGAATTTCATTGGCCGAGCCGGTAAAAATGCTGCTTTTGAATTGGTGAGAAAAGGGTACCGGTCAATGATGAGAGGGAAAAAAGTTTTGAAATTTAATTTCCTTTCCTTTAAAAAAAATTATTCCCATTTAAAACATCTTACTAAAAATGGTCTCTTTTATACTAAACATTAATATGTTTTTTAAAAACAGTATCAATCAACGACTTTTCTTCATACACACACACACACACACACAAAATATTCTCATATATAGTAGTTTACTTGTTTCTGTTTGATTTCATTCATCAACATTCCCCATTCAGCATTTTGTTCACTAGTTAATTTTTCTCTTTGATCTAAAAATGCATTCTATTAAGTTGAAAATATAAAAAAAAATTAATTAGACAAGGGGGGGGGTTGTTACCTTCAGGTGAATAGATATTGATAAATGATTGAGATTATTTGTAATGTGTCTGATATATATATTCATTAACTATATCATAACCCACACTTTTGATATTTTTCATTGTTTATTAAATGGGTGACAACTGTATAATGAAAGTGTAATTATCCGGAAATGTCTATTATGAACTGTTATATCCGGTAAAGATTAAATTGCAGGTAACTTCCAAGGACTATTTATGGACTATTATTCTATAAATATTCTTATTGTATAACTACTCAACAATTACACTATGGATATTTATATTCCTTTTATGATAAGCTTTATTTTGACCTATAATTTATTATTGTACGATTTACGGTTCTTAAGCTATGTTCAGTTTATGAATTACTGTCCCCCTCATTCACAGCCACTTTTTGGCTTATTTGTGTACAAATATTATTTCCTATTTTATGGTACGTTGCGGTCTGCCTGATTGATATATAAACCAAGTATGCCTGAAATAAACGATTCGATTCATATTCGGAAGCTGGTGTTGTGTTCTGTTCTCAAGTGGAAGGGCTCGGAAGACATAGGACCAATAAGGACGCTAAACTGCCCACACCGGTTGAACGTCATTGGTTGGCCTAGTGTGGAGATTCGTATAAGTCGTACTCGGATTGGTAGATAAGTCGTGTGATAGAAAAGTCAGACATCAAAAGGTCATAACATGAACATGTCCAGTGTAACCTATTTCGTAGACATATCGAATGAAAAGCATATAAATATGCAGTAAAATTTGTACTTAAATTGAAAATATAAAGAATATTACATAATAGATGAACAAGAAAAAATTATCAAAAGCTCTGAGTACGGTTCATTTAGTGAATATTCAAAACATTGCAGTTAACATCGAATTGATAAATCGCTCTATGAAATTAAAATGGTAACCGAAAATGATTATATAAGATAATAGAAGTGATTTACAGTAGATAGGAATATCGTTTTACCAACCTAATGGTCTAACACTAGAGTACTTGATTCATGAAATTCGATTATTTCAAAGAATGAACAAATTGATTTGTAACTCACAATGCTAATATGAAATTTTTACAACTTGTACCGTCACAAATTTGTATCAAATTTTGTATTGTCCATGGCTAATTACTAAGCTAATTTTCATCAATTTTCGTCCAAAACCTAATCTTCCAAACCATCAGTTATGGTTTAAATAGGTTAGTGAAATTGTTTGCATTTATGAAGTAGAATATTACAATAATCTCAGTCCTTTCTGGGCAAACATGTTTTTTTTCTTAAAGTTGATAACAGACATGAAATTTAAACGTTAGAGTCTCTTAATTGTTTCATTTCAAACATCTAAACTACAATAGATACCTTCTTATCTAAAGGAACAGAAAAAATAAAGTCCCTGATTATTGAGTTGAACTAAATTCAACGATAAGCGGTAGGGTCTCAGACAGTGAAACTGACTGACAATGGCTTGGAATATCAATTCTCCCAAGACTGGACGCGTACCTTGCTGATGAGCTCCAACAAGGACAAAACCTAAGTAAAACAGTATTTCATGTCAATCACCTTCTAGCATTTTACATCTCAACGTTCAAAAAACAGGTTGAAAATAAAAACACTTATATACGTTAATTAAAAGTAATAACTATCTCTGTATAATTGATTTGAAATTACACCAGACTAACTGAAGGACTTATCTTTTGGAAAAAAGTGTAATTTTGTATTGGTTAATGAATATCTTATCTATATCTTGTTCTAGATAGTTTACATTAAAAATTGTTAATGAGTATGTTGAGCGAATTCTATATTGTATCACAATATAATATTGAATGAAGCCATTAATAATAATAATAATAATAATAATATAAATCAAATGCGTAATAATAGACAGATATATAATATATAAGTATTAAAAACATGAATTTCAGCGAAGGAATCTCTTTTCGACGAATTTATTGTAGGTATTAATTCAGTGAGGAAATGAACACGAACTTCTGTTTGTATCTACCAATTCACCTGGTTTTGTAGAACAAGGTGAATTAGCTTTCAACTTGGGTATGAGAACATATTACTGTGTGGATCTAGAAAGGGGAAAGGAAAACTATTAAGAGTTCTATACTTGAATACTTAATCGTTTCTAATCATTCAACTTTTCGAAATGTTGGTATTAAGGTTGTTTATAAAAGACTTCTTTGTATTCAACTCATTAAAACATCAGATGCTTTTGATTTTCAAAAAATGAAGTGTGAATTGTGTGTAAAAATGAAGTACGTCTTATTATTGCCAAATTATGGTGTTAAACTATTATTGTTATTATTATGCCAAAAGACACTGATCAACTGCAGTCTGAAACATTAATGAGAAGATTCAGAGCATCAAACAGAAACGAATTAAACTTCACCCAATCGCACAAGCCAATGACTATATGAACTGTGAGGCTAATTGGATAATACGATGGTGTTTAAAGCAAATGGTCAGTCAGTCAGTCAGTCAGCTACAACGTATTGTGGAGTGAGCGTTAACTATGGGATGCAGGTATATTCAAATGAACACTCTTATGCAAAACAAACGTTTGCCCTAGATTCCGTTGCTAGCCACCATCCAACTCTATTATTATTATTATTATTATTTTGTTTTCATTTCACTGATTTCACCACAGAAAGTATCCCTCGTTCATGAATTTATTCATAATTGTTTCTGATATCACTTCACTTCGTTTAACCTTTGTTATAAGTTTTAATTAACTTACTCTATTCACATTATAATCCATTGTTAACTTAATAATTTTACAGGATTTTTCTATTTACATACACATAATCTTTTATTGTTATAATTTACACTATGAAATGACTCTGTCACGTCATCATGTTCATTCATTGTTCATATGTCCTCACGAAATTGATTCCTACAATTTATAGATAATACACAATTGTATAACTTCATAATAAACTCATTAAAAAAAATGAGATCCCTTGACTGAACTTTGCATAATAATGCTGATGAAAATAATAAGCATCATAATTGTTATTATTACAATGCTACATACTTCAATGGCAATTAGTTCTTCCCGATAGGTTCTTTGAATAGCTTTAATTTGTGATTCCATTCGTTCGGCTAATAAATCAATATCATCTGTGCGTTTCTTTAATTCTCTTACATAATGATCATCTTTAGCTTTAATTTCCTGTATTGTTTTTATTTTCATTTAAGTCAAACATAAAAAAACAATGTTTTTAATTTGATGATAGTAAACATATGATGGATGTTTTAATAGTTGAATTCATGAATCGATCCAAGATAGACCACTACTGAAAACCAAGAATCTCTGGAAGGCCGTTTCGTCTTAGCACGGGACTCCTTAGTAGGGTTTATCCACGATCCTCCATGCGGGACTCGACCCATGACTTTCAGTCTCGCCCTCGAGCACTTAACCTCTAGACCACTGAGACAGCATCTAACGGCGTTACTGTCCAGGTTTTCAATAGTAGTCTAGCTCAGATCGACTCATGAATTCAACTATTAAAGTAACTACAACCTCCACAAACCTCCCGCTCTGATATGATAGATTCATTTGAAAAAGAAAAGATTTAAGAAGTGAAAAAGTTAAAATTCCAAAAAATTCGAAATTTATTTCTTATGGTGTTAGAGTTTCTTTCAACTATTAAACAATTTGATTGGGAAAACCAACAACTATTTCCACGAAACATGTATTATAGTGTTTGACATAAGTCGTAAACATTTTGTCTTGAACTAACGTTGTAAAATAATTGATCATATTGACAAAGTTGTGTTTGAAGATAAAAACTTCAAAAATGAACTTTAGATTGCATAATAATCTATAGTCGATGACTTTAAATAACACTATTTGAAATAAATATTGCATTTGTACTCATTCCTTTTTTACCCTCTAAGTTTTATTTGATTACTTAATTACGCCAGTTACTCCTCATCGAGGAGCATATGCCACCCAACAGCATTATTCATCTAACACTGTCCTGAGTAATCCTTTCCATTTGTTTCCAGGTGCTAATCATCCTTTTCATGTCTGCTTCCAATTCCCACCTCAGTGTGTTCTTCGAACTTCTTCTTTGGAGTTTCCCTTCAGGATTCCACTTAGGATGTGCCTAGTGATGCAGTTTGATGATTTCCGTAATGTCTGCCCTATCCACTCCCATAATCTCTTCTTAATTTCCTCTTCAGCTGGAAGATGGTTTGTTCTCTGTTACAGTAGGCTGTTGCTGATGGTATCCGACCAACTGACATTGAATATCTTGTTTAGGCCTTATTTGTATTTAGTTTAGTATTATTCCATGTTTTTGTTACGTTTTTAAACCTCATTTTAACTCCATGCTCTTGAACTAATGACTAAATTGCAATATCGAATAAATTCGTTTAAAACCTACACATACCTATGGAAACTGACCGATTGTAGCCTTTAATACCAATAATAAGAAAATATAAACGCTTATAAATATATTCTGTATATGTTTAGTTTTCAATACCATAGGCATTCCTTCATAGAATATACGAATCCCGGGGTACGTGTTTCATTCGATATCAGACTTATGCAAGAATCCTAGTGTTAATTTCCGCACTGGGGCTTGAAACTATTAACTTTATCTTCAAAGGCCAATACACTCTTCACTAAGTTACTAGATCCACACATGATATTTATAAAATTATTAGTGAGGACTTGAATTATAAATTTGTTGATCATCTTGACTGAATTATGATCCATCTTTGCTGACTACAAATCCATCTGTTCGATAATAAGGTGTGAAAAATAGCCACATAGGGGTAATACGTATACTACATACATGTGCCGACAAAGACTAATCACAATTCAGTCAAGATGCCCAACAAATGAGTGATTGAAATCATCTATAACAATATAGGTTTTAATATCTTAACTCATTCGGTTTTCATCTTGGCGATGTTTTCATATTGCATAAATGCGAAATATCGCGGGCATAATTGGTTTATTGGTCCCGTACGCGATTTCCTACTAATTTTTAAAACAAATTTACGACTTACTAAATTCAGTTCATTAATCAGCTTATTTTTCTCAGCTATAAGGTCTTTGCACAACGTGTTTTGTTTGTCTAACATCTATAAACATTTAGAAAAAATATAGAAGTTATACAATAAGTTAAAGCCTGGTGTAACATTCCCATATTAGTTATTGGAATCTGTTTAGGGTGAAATTATTTATCTTACCTCTTTTGTTTCATCTAATAATTCACTTTCCTGCGCCTTTTCCCATTGTTCTGTTATCTACACAAATAAAATGAAAGAAATCCAAAACTTATTTGGTATATGGTGAGAATAAGTGGACTGATACAAGTACCGTGCGAAAAGTCTTAGCAATCTAGTGATCTATGAAGAAATACCCAAGTCGTTTATAAGTTACTTACGAATGTTACTCCTTGTGGAGCAAAGGCAGTCAACCAGGATTTTTCAACTTACGCAGTCTTGGGTTGTCTCTTCCAATTATTGGCAAGTGTTACCCATTCTTTCGATTTTTGCCTCCAATTCTAGGCCCCATGTATTCTTTAGTCTGCCCTTTTTACTTACTTGGGATGCGCCTGTGAACTGCTCTCCATGTACGACGTTGCAGTGTAGTCTATCCTAGGCATTCTGTATGATGGTGATGATGTTCTCAGTTACACCACGTTGTCAAAGAAGGTTCGATAAGGTTCTCCTATTTACGCTGTGAAATGCTTTCTCATAATCAAGGAACTTGATAAACAGCTATGACTTCTACTCAACTGTTTGTTCAACAGTGTTCCGTAATGTCATCTATGATCGGCACACGATCAGTCGTTACCGAGCCCAACCTGTATACTGAGTCTTTCATTAGATTCAGCAGTACAAGTGAATAAACTTGAACAATGACAAAATAATTTTTTGTGATATTTTAGTCTCACATAAATCTTTTAACTAGTATTTCGTGAAAAAGTGGCTCCCTCTAGTACATTTCACTTATTTAGTGAATAATTATGAGAAGTTTTGAGAGTACTTGTGAAGACAAATAAATCCCCGAAATAAATAGTTCTATAAGTCTCCGACATTTGATGCTGACCGCATCAGTTTTACTAGGCACATCTAGCTGATGGAGCCCGGTCACGAAACCGCACCAGATCATGAGTAAGTATGCCGTGCTACGCACCCCTTGTAACTGCTAGCCAGATTAGATTAAACTCTTCTCAAAATGTCAACAACCTTTCAAATATATTAATGAACACATTTATTCATGGCTTTTGATCTAACTGGGTTGGAGTCCTTTGATTGTATAAGTGTTACAGACGAAAGTGTTGTCAAATTCTGAATATCTGTAGCATCTTAAGCAGTGAGTCATACGTGGTCTGATGCACCGAACGGTAAACTGTGGGTTTGTTCCCTGTTTTAATATGGTATGTCACATTTTACGTATGGTGGTATTTTTGTATTCTCCACTTTTTTCTCCCATTTATATATTTCATCCTCATGATGAGAAAATGGCCACTCAAACTCCTGTAGATTAAGACTCTTACTACCGTAGCTTTTTGACTCAAGCCATTATGATCTTATAATATCAAAGCCAAATTCTGCTGCGCAGAAATTGACTTTCACAGGCATGGTGTGATAGACCCACGTGCACGACTCCTCGTAGTAGTAGTAGTAGTAGTAGTAGTAGTAGTAGTAGTAGTAGTAGTAGTAGTAGTAGTAGTAGTAGTAGTAGTAAAGCACTGCCGCTATACTTTGATGGATATGTTACACTTAATATGTTTACTAGCGACGTTTCCAAACCTTGCGTCATCTTTAAAAAGGTTGTAATTAAACAGGAAGACCTAGTAGTTGACAACGGTATGACCAGCTCTTCCACAAGACCGAATTCCCATACGGCTCAGCAACAGAAATTTTGGTGCGTGTGTGGGAGTCATTGATCAATGGGCTCTCAACGAAGGTCTTTTTGGACAACTCTGCTTCACCAACAGGTGAGAGCGGTGGTTATCTCGTTTCGAAATAGCGCCGTGGGTGAACCGGCTGCATCTGCCTATAGAACTCTGAAGATCACCAGAACCCTCAGTATTGTGCTTTTTATGTCAAAGAAAGACCTCAAACTACATAAAACGACATTTAAGACCTACCAAGGTACTGTCACTCGTTTTCTTACTATTCATCATAATCTCGGACGTTCCAAAACTCCATTAACAAACCTGTTGCGTAAAAGATCTGTCTGTGAACCACAAGAAACAGATAAACCCGATCGGTGTCGGTACCATAACAAGTATGATGATTCTTCGAAAATTGCAGAAAACCCTGCTGTTTCCTCCACCCTGAACCTTCTATCACGACAAGCCTTCCTGGAAAATTCCCCGCCGGTATGAGTTAAGGATAGCCGTAGCCGGTGAAAATATCCGCCTGCCACACATTACTGATTTGATGACGGAATTTCACCATTTCGTAGACACTGGCGCGGAAGTATGCATTCTTCCCACGGGTACTAATGACCGTCTACAAGATCTGGTCTTCAACTTACAGATAACGCGAGACTACTAGATCCTGGGTTTAAATCTTACGGGGTGGGATTATGGATGCGCACTGTTGAGGAGTCCCATACTAGGACAAAACGGCCTTCCAGTGCTTCCAGGTCTTCCATGATGGTCTAGCTTCAATTGAATCATGAATTTAACTACTAAATTACTATAATACCCACGAAACCCATTTCTGATAATAAAAGTGGTTTGCCACATACGTCAAAATATATGTCTATCATAACGTGGGTTTACGAAAAACCCATTCACTGGATTTTCGTTATGGCAGATGTTCCTGTTATAACACTGTAATCTATTCATCGACCCAAGCAAACGGAGGTTGGTGGATGGAAATACTAAATTATCTGTTTGTGGAACTTCGTTTTCTGGTTGCAGATTATTCCCGGTCACAGTTTAACATTAGATCTATACTTCCATCAGACACTCGATGAGTACCTTTAACTATCGTGTGTAACCAGAATGTTACTCACTATATTACGACTACAAAACCGTCTGTATTTCCGAAAGGACGCTGACTAGCTCCTGAAAAGTTAAGATTGATTAAAAACGAATTCTAGCATATGATAGACATGTGAATTATCCGGCCATCAAACCGCTCATGGCCATCTCCTTTGAACATGGCCCTTAGAAAACAAAGCAGAGATGACTAGCTTTGGATTGATGATTATCGGTGACCGAATACGAAAACTACTCATGATTTTCACCCCCGGCCACACGTCCACGACTTGAAAGCTACTTTGAGCGGTACAGCTTTTTTCTCAGGAATCGATCTGATCAAAACTCATAACTGGCCGCAGGTGACATTCCTACAACGCCTATTATCATTTCCTTAGGACTATATGAATGTTTGCGTATACTTTTCAGTTTAAGAAGTGCCGCAGAAACTCTTTTAGAGAGTCATCGATGACGTATCCAGGGGTTTTAAATTCATGCACGCGTAGACAATTCTAAACATGAAGCCAGTTGGATAAAAGTACTCACATGTTAAAATATTCAAATAGTCCGGAGCGATTCTGGTAAGCTCAAAATTTAGGCATTTTCCAGTAAAGTTACCAAGCTGCACCTTAGGTGTAGACCGTTCAACGGCAGAGATCAAGATCTACCAAGCTACTGAACCAACAATAATGATATATACAACCAACCAGTTATAGTTCATCTGAGGCAACAAATTACTTGGAATTTAGAGTCAAAGTACTGTACGTTTATCCAGTTTATATCTCTACAGGACTGAAAAAACATATAGAAAGGCTTGCAACACATTATCTCATTTAAAACATGATCTGTTAGTGTCCGCAACTAACTAATTTCAATTTCAAAATTTATCTGAATCTTTATTCCTAAATCCATGGTGCCCATTTTTCCCGTTAAAGTATGAGTTGCTTCACTTCGAGTGACCAAGGAAAATCTGAATCTCAAGAGATCATTATGAAACATTACTAATGGAAAACAAAAGTTGGGCTATAAGGGATTTTTTATTTCATGTGGTTAAGAGTTAAGTTATACTTTTTCATAACTAGCGTTTTGCTGTATTTACACACACTATTGTTTACAGACAAAGTAATGGGACTTAAAATACATCAACCCACTAAAAAACACCTGTTATCTGTTAAGATTGTTATGAGCGTATTCAGCTGGCTAAAACGCATAATAGGGATTGTTTCACAACCTACCCCTAAAAGCCTATTTTGAAAGCTACCAATAGCTGTACCCATTCACATTACCTCAGGATTCGTACAACTAAGACGGAAAAATAAGTTGATTTTGTCACAAATGCACATATTCAAACATATCAAGCTACTTTTAATGAAGAGGACTGTCATACTTTATTAAATACTTCTAGGCTTCTCGTTGCTTCGTCTTCCAAAACGCGAATTCTGTTATGATTAAGTTCATGGTCCTCAGTTCTTTTGAAGTATTCACGTGCATCACATGCAACCCGAATGTTAGTTATAAAAGCGTCTCCATCACTAATAAGTTTGGATATCCTTTTACTACTCTGATCAATCTGAGATCTCCCCAACCCAATCTCTTTTTTGCTTGACTTAGTTTCATTAGAGTGAACGTCGCCTCTATTTTCATCGTAAAAAAATTATTATATATGATTAACTTGCCTTAAGCGCTCCAACCTGTTTTGAATTCTTATGCGTCGAGCGGCAATCCTTTGTTCGATATCGTCTGAATCTACTGAGGGTCCAACATCTTTTATTTCTTTCTCTTTGAAGTAAATTTTTTTATTTTGGTCATTCAAGGCCATCGTTTTGAAATAGCTCGGAAACAGTTTCTATGATTACAGCGAATGTCCAATGTATTCAGTAGAAAATATGTTTGCGACGAGTTTGTATCAACCACTTGATATTTTACACCGAATTCCTGATTCGTTTGCTAATGTGCAATAAACATTAGTCTGATCGCTCGACTGCTATACTTTCAATTATTTAGATAGATATTTTTGAATTTGTGCATTCAGCAGTATGAATGAGCGTATCTAAACGTACATTGTAGGGTGTAAAACTTAGTGATGTGCAATTGCTACAACAGCAAAGAGCATAAGCTGTATTACTATGTCGTTTCACACTTGTGGTGAGCTTTCGGTTGAGATTATCGTTGAAAAATCAAGAACGTCAATGGTTGTGTATGGATATGAGGAATGAACAGTGAGTGAGCTTCAGGAATAAAACTACTACTGTCGAACATAATACTCCAAACTCACGTCATTGACACAGTTGCTAATGTTTGCAGACATGGGTAGTTGCAACATGCTAATACCATCTTGCAAAGGATCTCTGGAAGGTGCATGGCAAGAATGATATGTTACTGTGACCAAGGTCTGTTTCCTTCTACCCAGTTGGCCAGCCCATAGGAATTGGGCGTTTGTTAGTTCTTCCGAGCAAATTCGAGCTGAGGGTTCTGCGTAATTTGTACCATTTACGATCTCGTAGAGTGATCCACTCCCATGGTAAATCCAGTAGTGCCAACTGGCATTAAAACTACAAGGGAGAACTGGGTTTTGTGAACCGGTTCAGGAAATGTGAAGCTTGGGATGAACAGCTGTAATGTATGGTTTAGGGTTCAAGGTCGTTGGGCTTCTCACTGACAGTAGTTCACGAAATCAAGGTTGCGTGTGCAACAAAACGATGATATTAATAAGTACATGTTGGTTCGGGTCAAATGTAATGTCAGTACAAGTAAACTTTATCTGGATGTCAAGTAAGAAGCACTATCTTCTTGTACATTCATAAAAAGAGGAGGAAACCTTTTTAATGGCAAAGTATTTGTCTGTTCGATAGTTTTTGTAACACGGGACAAATATCATTAATACGATCATTCAAAATGTATGTGTGATAACTGAATACCATTAGTAAGCCGTGACAGAATTTTGCAAATATATGCACAGCGTTTTTTAAATCTGTGTTGATGCTGGGTAAAAATACCGGACTTCAATGAATTTTGGAAAAGATACAGACCTAGGTAAATTTCAGGTTTTTTATTGTATATTCCTTAATTTCACCAAAATCTTACGATGAAACTGGCCCGAAATCTGCCCAAAATTGACCCTTTTTGTCCCAAAGTTGAGACGCCAGCTTCTTTTACAACTTCCTAAAAACAGAATTTAACAATGGTCTCATGTATTTCTAATTTATTATGGTTTATCTTTTGTAACATTTGGTCTATCTTTTGAAGTATAAAACCAGCCTCATATAAGTAACATCAATATCTGACCTCCGCTGTAAGTGTAAGATAGACTAATATTACAGGACGAAGGGTGGCATTACTGGCCAGAAAATATGAGGGTTGGAAGATAATTTCAATTTAAGCAAGTTTGTGGAGTAAGACTTTTGTTAAATTACGGCCTATTATGGTCTGACGGGATGTAACTATACAGTAGTACTGACGCTAATTTATTATGCCAAAAACCTCTTTGACTCATACTTGTTGCCCTGAGTGGGTTTGACTTCATGCCGATAAATCTTAGTAAAAGCAAAACTGGTTAATTACGCTAAAATGAAGTCTATTCATCACCCTACAAAATCCATAATATTATAAAGAAGCTTTGGCGATAACAGTAGAGAGAGCCATTTGTGTATCCGAATATTGTGTTTTCAATATCATATTATATTACAAAACTACATACAATCCTCAACTCTCAACTTCTTTTCTCGTCGCCTTCATTAATACAGTTCGTTGTCCATTCATCGCCATGCTTAGTTTTGTTCTCTTTAACCTATTAAAAGTCTCTTGCTTAAAAACCGGATTACTAAAAAAGAATAAGTCTAAGTAGTCATACCCTATTTATTTCATCACAAGAACTCAACTTTACTAGTCATGAACATTTTTGCCTCGCTTCTCGTCCTATCTTTTTTACTCTCCTTTTCAGCACCCTCGTGATGTGCCACCGAAAACACATACGGAACATGTAACTTGAAGCTGAGCGCCCATTAACACCTCAGATATGCTAGAGGGATATAATGTTGCGTTTACGTGAGTTCATTCTAGACCATCGATTACACATAGCAAGCGCCAACTCTTACATTGACAATTCGGGTCTTGCTAACATTTTTTACATTAATATGTGAGGGATGTTGTAAACAGTGCGCCTTAAAACATATCAACCTATCTAAGTAACTTACTACAGTGAAGCCTTAATTATTTGTAACAATTTGATCTTGCCTGCAGACTTACATACCACATGTAATATATTGTTGTTTGAGAATATATTGTCATTTTCTGAAATTTTTATCAAAAAAGATATTGGGTTTTTCGACCTGTACTTTTGTCTTCTGGTTACTGTCCAGTATGCTAAGTGTCTCTCCCTGTTTACTGGACTGTATTAATTGTTTATTTTACATACTTACAGTGATAGTTTATATTTGAGAAACAGATAGGGTTTGTCAAGCGAAATAGTTTACTAGTTCTGACCTTGGCCAAAATAAAACTCTGTGATAGACAGTCTGGGGAATAGTTCGGAATCATAACTGTAGGAAACTGCTCCCTAAAATCTGTTTTGTTGATAATAGGAAGTCATCATACTTTACTATTGGTTTATGTTCGGTTAGAATTAGAGTAAAACATAAATGTAATGTGTTGCCGATTCCGAATGACTTTAGTATTTCATGTGACACCTTGCCGAAAGCCTTCTTAAAGTCGACCAATAGGACTGATATGTGGAGTTCGTCGCCTCGCTTTAAAGTTATATCATTCAGATAGTCGAGTAGGTGCCTATCGTATGACCTAGTCCTTAAAAGCCCATTCTGGTAAGTAGATATGAGATTATTAGCAAGTATATATTGAATTACTGCCATCTTAACCATTTTCTCAACCCTCTAGATATTTCAGAGATGATGTTTGTAGGCTAGCAGTTTTCAATATTTGCTTGGGCTCTTGATATAATCTTCGGAATGACGTGTAGTTTAACAGGAAGCGGCAAAATATACTGTCATGAGTGATATTCCAAATCGTCCTGAAAGTATTAACCAGAGATTACCTCCACCTTTTTTAGCATACTAGTTGATATACCGTCTGTTCTTTTTAGCGTGCTAAAAGCCTTAAAAATACTGTACACATTAAAGTTTGTATGAGTGAATTTGAAAGAAAGCAACCGGATAGACTCTGATTCATTTAGTGATTTTTCGCTTGATACTGAGTCAAAAACGTATCCACTTAATCGTTCCGTAATAATTCTAGGGTCTTCGTATACTTGAAAGTCTTTAATGAATATGTTTCCTCACATAAGATTATACCGAAGGATCTTGATAATTTAAAAATGTAATTATTAATTTTGTCAGTGAGCTTTTCCTGTGGGACCGTTTCTTAAATGCGCATTACTTCTTCCTTAAAACATATTTCTGTCACCTTAATTACAAAAGAAAAATTGTCAAGTGAATTGAATAGATTAGCATGTCTCCGAAGACGTCCTTGTTAACCAGCCAGTTTGTGCAGATACTCTAATAAATCATGGTCAATCACAAGGTCTCATGTGGTGCGGCAAATCAAACCCATAGTATCCATTTAAGAACATTACTTGTGGGAAGTCATTAAAATATGGCTTTGTATCATAAGATGTTTACATCATCTTTGCCGTTTTTATTAATGGTCTTAAGTTTCTCCTCGCTCTTGGAAACGTTATACAGTCTTTAAATAGCTGGTTTAGGAAATCTTTATAAATAATGGCGGCATATGTAACGCGTTTATTACAACACGTTCTACGTTCGATAAAAATTTTGACTCTCTTACGCATATATGAAGCCAGCCTAATTAAGCACATCTGCAATGAACATGAATCACAAATCCAAGTCTGAATGGAGTGACATAGGTAATAACTCCACAAATTCACCTGTAAGTCTTACAGTAGTCCGGCCCACAAATTCGACTACACTGTACTAGTCACCATACGTAGATCCTTCGCAATCGCCGAACAAAACTACTGGGAGCATATTTAAGCACTTTAATACAACTCCATTTGACAAACGACAGTAAACCAGATATCTAAATGTCCTGCACTACCACATACTACAAGAACTTTAATGGTTGCTCAGATTCGAGTTGCATCTCAACAGCTAACCAAGATATGTATTACCTTGAATTCAAAACTTTTCCATGGTTTGCCTGAGATCCATTTACGGCAACTGGTGTTCGTCTGTCCTTTAACAACTATTAGGAATATTAATCCGCTTGGATGCATTCGGTTTCACTAAGTATGTTGCATCATCTAGGTGATATATCTAGATCTTCATTACATTCGTCATTTTATCGTACACTTGATATGTGAATATCACCCAGATAAAATCAGACCAATAATGACGCAAAATCAGTGAGACAATTTACATTTCAAATAGACCAACAGCGCTCTTATGACCACATTGACTTCAAAGTTACTATGTAATCAATTATAAATCTGTTTCCAAGATTAATCTCTCCTTAAATGGAGATCATCAACTCATTAGTTTTAGACCATGATTGAAAATCTGAAAGTACTAGACGGTCAATTCGTGGTAGTATGGGACTCCTTGGTAGTGGGCATCCACAGTCTCACACTAAGCACTGGAAACCAGGATCTTCGGTTTCACGCGAATGCTTATCTCTAGATCAGTTAGCTGGCATCCAATGATGTTAATGCGAAACTTCAACCAATCATTGATATTATTCAACCACCATCCATTGAGTGAATGTCTCACACCTGGCACGGTCAAACTCCACTAGTCATAGCTTCTCACTACAACTCCGAGCATTGACTCTGGAAGCTAGTCATTAGTTAGCACATGATAAGACTAGGAATGCTTATAAAGCATGAATAAGTAAGACTATATTGTCGTATGAAAAACAGTTGGTTAGGGATTGTAAAATAAGTCCGAAACGGCTATTCTTGTAAACAAAATGGAGAACTCGGAGAAGGTTTGGAGGTCCATCACTTTTGG